TATTTTCTTTACCTTATTCCTCAACGGTTTAGTGTGACTTATAAGAATACAGTTAATTAAATTGACAAAGCAAAATTCAGGAATAAAGTCAAGGTTAGAGAGGATGTTATAACTGATAAACTACTTACGAGAGAGGTGGTAAACAAAAATTCAGCCACAGGTTTGACTCCTGGTGGTTAAAGTAAGAAAAGCTCAGACATTTGATTCATAATGCCATAAGGAAAACACACTAGTTTTCAGAAAAAGCAAAACTTAGCTCTGAAAGAAATTTTTCAAGTGAAATTCTTAAGTCTTTTAATGAATGCTAATGGCACAATATCAAAGAGTAATTCCATAAAAGCATTTCTTGAGGGAGAAAGCATACCAGCCAAAGGAATTAACTGACTGCATGTCTGTTACACTAACTACTGTAAATGTCTCAGCCAGGTTTTTAAAATATATATATATATAACATAACATTTTCCACTTTACTCATTTTCAAGCATACAACTCAGTGGCATTAAGTACATTCACATTGTTGTGCAGACATTACCAGTATCCACTGCCCCAATTTTTTCATCAACCCAAAGTGAAACTCTGTACCTCTTAAATAGTAACTTCCCTTTCCCCTGCCCCAGCCCTTGGCAAATACTGTTCTGTCTATTCTAGGTACCGTATATAAATGGAATCCTACAATATTCTTTTGGCTTATTTCACTTAGCATAATATTTTCAAGGTTTATCCATGTTGTAGCCTGTATCAGAATTTCATTCCTTTTTGTAGCTGAAATTATTCCATTGCATATGTATACTGCATTTTAACCCATTCTTCTGTTGAGATTAGAATTATTTCCACTTTTTGGCTGTTGTGAATAATGCAGTGAACATGGCTGTACAAATATCTGCCAGAGTCTCTGCTTTCAGTTCTTTTGGGTATATATTCAGAAATGGAATGCTGGGTCATATAGTAATTCTTTAGTTTTCTGAGGAACTGCCATACTGTTTTCCACAGCAGCAGCACCATTTTACATTACACCAACAATGCCCACGGATTCCAATTTCTTCACATTCTTACTAATGCCTGTTGTTTTTGTTTTGTTTTGTTTTTTGATAATAGCCATCCTGGTGAGTGTGAAGTGGCATCTCATTGTTTTGATTTGCATTTCCCTAATGAGTAGTGTTACTGAGATCTTTTTATGTCCTTAGTGGCCATTTATACAGTCTTCTTTGGAGAAATATCTAGTTATGTCCTTTGCCCATTTTTAAATTGGGGTCTTTGGTTTTTGTTGCTTAATTGCAGTTTCCAGCCAGGTTTTTTAGGAAACAATTTGAGGTTATATTTTTCTGAAACTCAGGTATTTATATAACTGGTTAATGGCAGATGGATGAATTTTCAAGGTCACCTAGACAGGTGGTCAATCCAACCATGACTCCAGGTATTCCATACTGCTAGGACTTTTACTTGTAGGCAGAATACTAACAGGATTACTTTAAAGCTGAGTTTTTCCTGAATTGAAGATTTTACCACTTGAACAGATGATACTCAGGTCCCCAAAGCTCTTATAGAGCATGGGTTTGGCCTGGAAAATTCCCCAAGTAGGAATCATTTATGAAGGCCATAGAAAAATCTGAAGAGTATGCCCCTTGTGCTGATAATGTTCCAGACTTAGAAACTGGTGATGGTTACACAACTTTATGAATATAGTTAAAACCACTGACTTGTACACTTTAAAAGCGAATTTTATGTTATGGCAATTGTATCTCATTAAAAAAAAAAAAAGAATAAAGAGTACCCACCAAATATTTGGTTTTAAAATGTACCTTCCTAGTGAGCCTGCCAGTTACGAAATGTATCTCTGAGTAACCAGAGTGATGATGCTTTTGGGTTTGTTCACTCAGCACATATTTATTGAATACCCATTATGTGCCTGCCACTGTGAATACACCAGTGAACAAAACAAAGTCCCTACCTTCAAGGAGTTTATGTTTTATGGTGGGAGATGGTAATGTAATATGATGTGGTACCAGGTAATTATAGATGCTAATGAAAAAAAAAAGTAGAAACAGGCAAGAGAGTGACAAGAGTGTGCAGTGCCAGCAAGAGCCTCTCTGAGGAAGTAAATTTAAACAGAGACCAGAATTGAGTGAGCAGCTAAAGAGAGTTGCTGAAAAGAGAGCAGCTGGAAAGAGCACCCCTGTTTCAGTGAACAGCGAGAGCAAAGCCTTTGTGGCAGGAACATGATTGGTGCGTTCGGGACACAGCAGGAACGCCAGAGCACAGTGAGGTAGTAGGGAAGAGTGACAGTGACGGAGAGGTTGGAATGGTAGTCAGAGGGCCTTTTAAGTGATAGACTTTGGATTTTATTTAAAATGTGATCGAAGGCTTTGGAGCATTATTGGATAATTTAGAAACCAGTTAAATGTTGACTATCTGCCAAAAATAATCACTTAACAAAAAAGTCAGTTGATATTAATACATTATTTTTAAGAGCTGTTACGTACAAAATGAATTGTCTCAACAACCACACAACAAACAACAAGGTTTTGTGTTTCAGACAAAAACCTTGTCCTCTGGGTATAGGTTACTTTTTGTTCTCAGTAGGAGAGGGAATAACATCCAGTAGCCATATTAATTAATTGACATGTTTTAAATGCCTCAACCTCACATCCTCTGTAATCCCTAGTTTTCTTTCCCTTTGCCACTTGCCCAGCTAGTGAAGGAAACTTCCCTCCCTCCTTTCTTGCCTGTTCATTTCTTTTGTGAGTCCCAGGTAGCACTGATTGTGGTTTTTAAAAAGTGTAAGTCAAGTTTATTACCTATATGTAGAAGGAAAGCTAAACATTTTGATGTAAAATTAGAAATAATATAGTTCCCTAACTATAAAGGTTACTCTTTTTTTTTTGTTTTTACTGTTGAAACATGAAGGCTTTCATCAAACTTCAAGTCCCTAAAATACCGTAAATGTTTACCACAGAATAGGTATGTAACCCACCAGTCACAATTTGGTAATGAAAATGTTGAGTTTCAGTATTAATGAATGAATTTCAAATGCCAATTTCTAAGGCATTTTGGGTCAAACTTTTTTAATGAGTTTATTATTATTATTAAAGTATAGTTGACTAAAACTATATATATTTAATTTTAGGTGTAAACCACAGTGATTCAACATTTATATACCCTGCAGAGTTACAATAAGTCTAGTAACCATTTGTCCCTGTACAGAGTTACTGTGATATTATTGACTGTATACCCTGTGCTAATAATTACATCCCTGTGACTATGTATTGTATAAATGGAAGTTTGTAAGGTCACTCTTAATTTTTAACCCCCTTTTAAGAACTTGTTTTTCCCTGTTTATTAGCACATAATTGTTAAAAAAATTCTTACTCAGTTCTTTGGTTTGGCTGATGACTAATATAAAAGTACTTGGTATTTTAGCCATAGCTTTTGTACACCCGTTGGGTTCCTCAGTATGATACTACAGTATAACATTATTACTCCAAGAAAAGTTAATGGCTGCTTGCTTCTTTGCAACTGAATTTTCAGAAAACTTCTTAATTGCAACTTATTCATAAATTGGGAGAGTGCCTTCCTCAACACATTGTTTTAATGTTTAATAGAAAAAAGTATTACACAACTGAGAGATTTTAAAAATTATGTTGAAATGAGATTTATTATATATTAGTTCTATATCCATCAAGGTTAACTTTTCCGAATATTTATATTAAACTAAAAAGTACTACAATAGTAATAGAAAGCTAATCTTCTAACATTAATTATAGATAAATGTGAATTGGTATAGAAAGGTCTCAGTTAATAACTAAGCTCTCTCACCAGTGTTAGGTGCACCGTTATACTGTTTATCTTCTGTATTATACTAATATATTTTCTTTTTTTTTTTAAGCTTGCAAACACAGAAGAATACATAGATGGAGCATTGTCTGGACATCTGGGTGAAGTTTTAATAAGGTAACCAAACAGCAGTAATTGTATATGTAAGGAGTATTAGAAATACCCGTTAAAAGTAATTTAGTGCTTCAATTTCAGAATTATTTTTTATATTCTTATTAATTTAACATAATTTCTACAACTAGACTTCAAGAGTCTTTGAAATTGTTAAACTTGTCAAAGAAGATTTAAATATTTTGGAGCTATTCATCCTTAGGATTTTTCTAGTGTTGATATTAAACTTCTAGCTCTTAGCTGTAACCTTTTTCAGTGGTTTTAGTTGTAGGAGCTTGGTTTTAAATTTTAGTTGTATCTGGATGCTGTTAGGGATTTTTGTTACACTCATTTTCTAGAACTAACTTTACACCTCCTAATTCTAGTCATTATTCTCTTTGGAAGATCATAAGATACCATTTTATAACAACCACATGGTAAAAAAAAGTGTTGTGTGCTTTTAAACAAATCAATGGTAGAAACTTTTATTTTAAAGAGAGAAAAATGACATATTGTAAATTTAGCATTCAGTATTTTTTATAATGAAAAAAAATCTAGTAATTGTAAATCAGAACTTATGTGGTTTCCGGTTGGAAAAACAAAATGGACTGTTTTTCTCTTTACAGGTGTAATAATGTCCTTTATATCAGGGGTGTTGAAGAAGAGGAGGAAGATGGGGAAATGAGAGAATAGCATCTATTGTGACAACTTATTTTTATATACAATAAAAATGTGTTTTCAACTTGACTGGTGAACTATTCATATTCAGATATTTATATGCAAAGTTCAAATGTTGAAACAATTGAAAGATTATTCACAGAAGTGATGCATGAAAAATCACTCAACTTCAAGTTTTGGGTTTTTTTTGTAAGCCCAATACTTTATTTTTTTTTTAAAGGTAAAATTATTTATATGCTTTATAAATGTTTATAAAGGTGAATTTCATCCCTTTTCTTGTAATTACATATTAAGAGACCTTTTGAAAGCAACTGCTTCTTTTAAAGTTATTTTTGAGCCATTTTTAACAGGTATCAAGTTAAAAATTTTCTTAAGTTAATATATAATATATTTTACGTAGTTGACAAATTACATATTAATATATCAGTGTAAGCTAAACAATGTATACATATTATAGCTAAAATTGAAACATCACCTGAAAATTAAAATGATTATGGATATAGAACACAACAGAAATTATAAACTGATATTTAGGCTGAAGACTTGGTTTGTTCACTTAAGAGAATGAAGTTTTCTGAGCAGAACTCCTTAATGTGAGTTAAAAACCAGTCTTACAGTTATGTTCTGAGAAAATAACCTAGTGGTTTTCATTTCAGTTTTAAACTTCTCAAAAACCCTTGAGATATATTAGAGTTGAACATTAAAATCTGTACTCCACAGTGATAAAATGTATACTGTGAACTTTCCTGTGGACTGGTTGAAAACGTGGATCATTTAAAGTCTGATGTTGACAGAGAATGCCACTGCTACAATTTAGTGATCGTTCACCATGTAGTTATATCAGTAGAGTTTGGATGCGAATCCCCAGCTGGGACAACTCAAAGTATAGATATATAACGTTTAGAATAATACTTAAAATATGGATAATAAAAGGCTTCAACAACAAAATCACTCCCCAGTCTTACAACCTTTAAAACAAGGGTCTCTCTTCTTCAAATTGGGTAGGCCAGCATATAGGGCAGAATATTGCCATTATTGAAAACCAAAATCTACAAAATATGCCTAACACATGACAGTTTCTATTCAAGTGAAAAAATATTCATCCTCTACTGATTGTGTTTTTGTATCCTTGATTGAAAGTAGTTGATGTTTGTCACTGGATGGAGGTTTTGAACGACAGACAAGTCGTCTTCCCAGCTGAAACAAATGAAAAAATAATATTCTTAGCATAACCTTTTTCTGTTGAAATGTAGGTAAATTACTAATATTAACTTGATTTTTTTTCCAAGGAATAATATGGTTTAAAATAGTAAATAATCAGTTACAAAGGGATTGATAACCTAGTAGATGTCCAACATGCTAGGCAAAGTAAAGTAACAAATGGCAAACCAGAGTGTGCAGAAGGCAAAAAAGCAGTTAGTTGGGTTTTATGGGGCAGTGAGGGAGATATAGGCAGTTTCAGTCATGTCAGCCTAGAGAAGCACCATGAGGCCAGCAGCTCTCAGTGCCACAGCTAGTGTTTCCTCCATTGGTTGGGAGAGATTGCTCTCTGCTGAGCATCGGTTCACACATTTTAAAATCCTGTTAAACAAAACTTGAGAAAACTATGTGCTGTCTTCCTCAACACAAGTAATCCTGTTGACTCTTGGAAGTGTTCCCACCAGGACAAGGACAGGCTCAGGGAGATCCCTAGTTTCACACCTATTCATTCTCTCAGGGGCATACACTCCAGTACATCATACTCATTATTTTTCTCTTTTAGTTGTTTTCCCCCCATATATTTTTAGTTGTGTTTTGCTTTTACATATGAATTTGTGTCAATTAAATGGATGAGAAAACTATTCCGGACATGAGATTTGATGGGACGTCTCCACTGTGTCTCAAAATGGGCACTACCCCTATGTGAGACTGTCCCCTGCATTGGAGAATGTTTGACATTCCTGGCCCAGTGAACTAAATAATGGCAGTGTTCCTTCCCATCTTCATACCAACAAAAATGTCCTTAAGGGACTGGAATCCCTGAATTCCTTTTTGAAAGTCAGAATTTTTTTTTCACTGTCTATGATCTCCTTTGGTAACTTTTGGTGTTAATATGTCTGAGAAAATTTCCAGTGATGAAGTGTCAACTGGGTAAGAACTTCTATCACAGATCTTCATGTGCTGTCAACCTATCACTTTTTTTTCCAGTTTTAGTTTTCATTCTTATTTTTAGTCTGTTAATTTGATAAGCATTTATTGAGTATCCACTCTGTGCCAGGCATTGGGGATACAAAGGTCATAAAATTCATGGTCTAGAAGGAAAGATGGTTATATTTTAAAATAATCCTTTCAGTTTTGTGGGTTTAGTAAATAGTCTACATATGGGAGAGTGATGAATGGTTAATTATTTGGGAAGACAAATCAGGTCTTCATAGAAAGAGTTGAACTAGAGAAGCACAGACTTTTTAAAATGAAATGCTTATTTAAATAAAATAATTTATATTTAAATAAAATAAGGTAATTATCACTTTTTGACATACATATTAATAGTTATTGTACTTCAGAACTTTTTTTAAGCACTTAACCTCAAAAGGCTGGTTGTGAGGTACACAATAAGCATTCACTATGGGTTAGCTATTCCTATGGTAAGGTTCAATGTCCACATAAGCTTTGTAGATAATCATGACATTGGCTTCCTGGAATATATTTTAGACCCTAACCTAGAGGAGGGAGAGTGGCATACAGAAACAAAAGGCCCTGCACCCGCAGCGTGGGGGCATGGAACGTAAGCACTCAGTGACTGCCCAATCCTCAACTTCTTGCTACAGGTAATCTTCCAATATGAAGAACCTTGACTTCTGGTCCCCATTCTGCTGCTAAATCGGAAGTGACACTGGGTAAATCATTTTAACTTTAACCATTAATCTCATTTTTACAGTGAGGATTGGAAGACTTCCAGTTATATGTAATTGTCTGGGTTCATTATCTCCATTGTTAAGTGAAAGAAGCAAGGTTCATAGCTACCAATTATAAGAAGAATTTACACAAATACATAGGCTATTTCCCGAAGGATGCAGATGAAACTTAGCGGTGGTTGCTTCCAGCAAGGGGAACTGAGGATGACTTAATTTTCACTGAAGACTCTTGTATCTTTTGAACTTTGAACCATATGCTTGTACTACCTCTTATTTTTTAAAATCTCTGGTTACATGAATCTGGAGCTAAAGAAAAAGAGGAGAAAGGGACAGGTTTCTTTTTGTAAAAAGGGGGTCTAATGGAGAACAGTTACCCAGAAGTTTGAATTATTCTAAAAGTAACAAGGAACCAGAGAGACCATTTAAAGCTGTAAGCAAGAAAGATTCTTTTACTGAATAGATTAGACGGATTAGGCATTTTGTTTTCGTACCACAGAAGCACTCACATTGATGTAGTTGGACCTACGTGTGTTAATAACAAAACACAAACCTTTTTCTTCGGTTGCGCTACTGCTCTTTCCAGAGCAGCTTTTAGCCTTTCCTCCTGGTGTTTTTGTTTTTCTTTCATTTTCTCCTCACGCACCCTGTCAAGAGGAGAACATGTTCTTCTAAGTATAAATCACAGAAAGTGAAAAACACCTACATCATTACTACTTGGTAATGAGCTATCTGTTATAAGATTGCCATTAAGGTTCAATGAAAATAATTCACCTACAGCCGTAACTATGGTTTTTGAATATTCAGGGGAAATCTCAACAACAGATCCTGTTTGTGTTGAAATGGGATGAAATTGCATGTCACCATTTTGGTAAACTATTCTGATCTTGGTCTAACAAGCAGTTCAGCAAAGCCTTCTCATTGCTCCACTTAAATTTCAGCACTTCACAGTTAACCTGGACAACAGCCACTTGGATTAACACGTTAAGCGCCAAGCCTGTTTTGTCTTCCTTTCTGTTTAGCCCGCAATATCCGATTTCCCCGATATGCTTTCTTTTCAGTCAGTTGTCTGTGGTTTGTGTTCCGGTGCAGTTTAAAAAATGTTGCTTTACCCGTAACAGTGACAATGTCAGTAGAAGAAACATGTGAAAATGATTCAAGTGAAATTAGTTTTCCTAATAGAAGAATATAATTTTTTAAGTTGTATATCGTCAGTCACCAGTGACTGACGCGGTCCGAATGGAAAGTAGAGTGTCAGTCACCGGTGACTGACATGGCGCTTAACGTGTTAACTGCCAGTTACTTTTCCCCCTTTTAAACCTTTTTATTGAACATGCAGAGAAGTACACAAATCATGAGTATGTAGTTTAATTGCCACAACAGTGTATTTACCAGTTAATTTTTTTGAGTGGTATTCTCAAGACCAAGAAATGCTATTTGTCTTGTTTTCTTTGGGGCTGTGAAGATAAAATTAAATGAGATGACCTGTGCAGTCTACTCCAATGTCTGGTGCAGAATAGGCAATAAGTAATCGCTATTTTGTGGACATATTTAATTTTAGGTGTAACTGAACATTTTTTTAATGCAAAATTGGTATGTTAGGCCCCTCCAAACCATGGGGAAAATCAACTAATACCCTCTTTGATAAGAATGATAAACAATTACAATTAAAATCATGTATCACCGCTGAAAATAAGTTGTAATTATACTTTGATGACAATTCATTTCCTACTGTAAAAAAGTTGCAGTGTTATTAGTATAATTAATCAGGTCATGTTATGGAAGGAATCATCTCTCACTTGTAACTTTTTAAAAATTTGCTTTATATTTGATAAAATTCCATCAGGATCATCTTACTATATTCTAGACTTCATTTTTATATGGGGGAAACAATATAATGCCCCATACATGGATGATGTAAGTAAGCAATAATAAAATATATTTTTATAGATTTAATATTTAATAATATTAATGGCTAATAATTTCAGTACCTAACTATGTGCCAGACACGCTTTAGTGCTTTTACATAAGACCATTTAGTTTAATCCTCACAATAGTCTTACAAGCTATTACTGCCATTTTACAGATAAACTGAGACTTAAGGTCACAAAAGTTGTAAACGGTGGAAGCTGGGTTGAACCCACGCAGGTCATGTCCTTACTTACAGCCATAGTACTAGTCTGCCTCCCGACATGTTTTTCTGCCATGTAACATGGACATCATTCCACCTGTAAGCATCCTCTACATGCCTTACTATACTAGGGATCCTATATTTATAATAATCATTGCCTCAAAGGTAGTAATACATAAAATCCTTGCTTAACTCGGAATGGAAATTATTGGTACATCGGTGCCTTCCCCCAAAAGGCCCCACAGCAAGCAAGAATGTGCAGGCGAGGGTGCGGGCTATTGATGTGTAAATGCTTTGTATGGAAGTGTCGGCAGTTACACAGGAAAACCCTCAATGCAAGGGTCTTTCAAAATTGTCTCATAGGTTGAGTCTCCTGGCAGTTTTCCAATAAAGGGCTTCTAATCTATGCCTTGGGATTTCCACCACAACCGCAGTTCTTCCACATGATAGCTCTTCAGAAATCTTCATGTAAGTAGTGAATATTCACCCTGAAAATTCACTTTTCCGGGCTAAAAGAACCCCTCACGCATCTCAAACTATCAATAAGTCAGTTGTCCATGGTGAACTTTGTATTCACACGGTTCCTTTCCTTCCCAGTGCTCATGGACCATTGGTAATGACACATTTGTTTCATAAGGATATTTGATGAAAATGTTTCACACCAAATAATAGCTCTTATGAGGAGGGCAGGGCTGGGTTTGGTTCCTCCCCCTGCAACTCTGTATGGTCATCCTTGCCATATAAGAGAGAATTGCTAAGTGTTTTTGGAATCCAAGCAAAAACAGCTACTTATTAAATCATTCACTACGCTTATGTAAGCCATTGCAGTACTTTTGCCGTCGTTCTTTCTGTTTTATTCTCTCAATTGCCTCCACATTTTCTTTGGGAACGGTTTCAATGAGATCACTCAGTTCCACCAGGCGAGACTCGACTTTTACCAGCTTCTGAACAGGGTCGAGGCTGCCAACATCACCATCTCCAATGCAGACTTTGTATACTTGATTAATTTTTTTACTAAGAGAGTCTATCAGTTTTTCCTGAGATTGAAAAGAAAAGGAGAGCACAAAAACATCTCATAACTATTTGCTTGTTCAGTAAATGTGAAGTTCTGTTTTACTATATTACAATGAAAAGGCTTTTATGTGCTATATGTTTCCTTGTTTAAAAGAACTTTAATACAACAGAAGAGTGAGGAAAAATGCAGCAATGATATAACAATTTATAGTCCGATCCTTACTATAGTAACATGTTGGATTATTTTCTTAAAAACACTTCAGTCTAGGTATAAAAAGTAATTATAAGTATAATTTTTTTCTTGAATGTTTCTGTATATCTGATTCCCTGAGCATTCAAGTAGAGACAACATACATTTTAAATCTTTTTTTACCTCTCCAATGCATATCTGTGCAGCACAGCATGTAGTCTCCTTTATTTTTTGCACTTGCTACTATAATTGCTAAAACTAATTATCCTGTCTGATAGTTTTTTGCATACATGCCTTCTCTCCCATTCTAGACTGTAAGCACCTGGAGGGAAGGAGCTATTATGTTTACATTTATATCTTAAAACAGCGTCTTGCACATAACTGCACTTAATAAATGTTTGCTGAATAAACAAAAGCATTCTCTCAGAGGGAAAAAAGTTACAAGCAAACAGATTCCCAGGTTTGCCTAGAAAAGCCTTTTGAGGAATTTAGTTTTTGACTCTCTCCATTGGGAAGCCATTGCAAGTACTCTAGTCTAAGCAGCGGCTTAGGCCAAACCGTGCTGATCCCTGTACCTTGCTACTGTGCCGTTTTAATTGGTGGTAGAGATGCTGGAGCTTGTAGGTAACGTCTTGCGGGACCTGGAGAAAACTCTCATCTGCCTCCTCTGTGTACCGGACACTCGTGGTTAATAGGGCCTCAATAAACTGCTGGGCAAAGCAAATCGTTCTCCAGGTAGCATTCTGCCCCATTGCCTGATTCTGCCCAAGAAGATGAGAAGCACCATGAAGCTGAGGACAAATAACACTCAAGACAGATGTGGCTCCTAGAGCCATGAGAAACCCCTCCTGGAACCACAGGATCCTTCCAGAGCCACCGACAATTACAAGTCAAGACCTGGTACCAAGAGTTTTACTTCCAGCAGCTTGTCTCTCCCACTTCCTGGCTTAACCACTTTTCTGATGACCCTATTTACCATAAAGCCCCCCTTTTCTCTCTCTAAAGTAATACATATTGTATTTACTATTTATATTTAAAATGCTTTTTTAAAGAAAACTTGGAGAAGTACAACAATATATAGAGAAAGTAAAAGAAAAAAGCAAAAGTTCTCTTTGCCATAAGCTCCTTTTTCTCTCCCTTTCTAAATAACATTTATTGTATTTCCTATTTATTTAACAACATGCTTATTTGGGAAACTTTAGAGATACAGAAACACATTAAAGGAAAAAAGTAAAAGTGACCCATCGAGGCCCTGCAATGTGCATTGGATATGAACAACAACATTGCTGCAATATGAGTCATTTAAAAAAATACACTGAACACTGGTTCTGAGGAAAAGCAACTTTAATATGAGAATGGTTAGTACCTGATAGAAATTTCTGAAAGAGACCTCTTGAACACTTAAGAGTTTTAGAAATTGTTGGGCAGAGGCCTTTCAAGATGTCTTTTTTTAAGTTCCCGTCAAACAGGAGAGGAAAACACAAGGAGAGATATTTTCTGAAGATAACGAGGTAAGAACTATGTAAGAAATAGGATTAGGGAATGAGGTTAAAGAAAATAACTCATGGAAAAGCAATTGAGGGCCTGGCCCAACAGAAAAGGGCCAAGAAAATGGCAGCTCAAGGCACAGTCCCCCTGATGACAAGCCCAGTGTCAGGCCTGTCTCCGGAGCTGCCACCAGATGGCAGGCCCCACCCAGAGCACCTCGGAGAAGGGGCTGCAAGGATGGGAGGATCTCTTACGTCCTGGTGAGGTGTAGTGGGGCAGGATTGTGCAAGACAACACTGGGCAAGAACCTCGGATGCCTTCCAACAGTGGGTGGGAAGTGACCTGACCAGAGCAATGTGTAGAAGGAAGAATTGTATCAAAGCTGGGTAGGGGAGTGGGGAGATGTCTAGATGGCTTTTAAAGTTCCTTTCCAACTCAAGAATTCTGTGATTTTAAGCCATGTACATTCTGTGTGTTTGCTGTAAAAAACTCTCCCAGTTTGAAAGAAAAATTAAACCGGAAATGAATACCTTCTGCAAACTGAACAGTGGAGTAGCTTACATTCCACTCCATGTTCAATGAAAGTAAACAACTGCTACACAAAACAGCGTGGATGAATCTCAAACATAATGTTGAGAGAAGCCAGATAAGCCAGATCACATGATTCCACTTATATGCAGTTCAAAACCATGCCAAGAGGCGCGATGGTTAAGAACTGGCTTGGGATGCCAGAGGGCCCCGGTTCGGATCCCACATGAGGGCCAGTGACACTGCCCTCTACAGCTAAGATGCTGAACAACAGCTCCAGGCTGCCGTGAGTCGCAGGTGACGGTGTAGGCTGCAGCCCCTGTGGCAGTGGGTTGCCATGGGCTACCGTGTGTAGCCAGCAGCCAGCGTGAGCGGCCAGCAGCCGCAGTGAGCGGCCATCCAGAAGCCGGCGACTGATCTGCCTCACCCGGGAAGAGCGCAATGATGGTGCCAACTTGGGCCAGTGAAGCAAAGTCCTCCACAACTAGACTGAAGAACAAAACGACAGCAACTTGTCTGTTTCCCTTCCCCCAATTCCCCAGCGCTGTTCCCATCCCCCCAATTCCCCAATAAAAATCTAAAAAACAAAAAAAACCATGAAAGCTAATTGATGGTGAGGGAAGTGAGGATAGGGGCCACCTTTGAAGGAGAGTAGAGACTGGACGGAGGCCTGAGGGAGGCTTCTGGGGGTGCTGATAATGGTCTCCTCTGATATAGTGGGCGTTACATGGGTGTGTTTACTTCGAGGAACCCCTTTGAGAAATACACTTACTGATTTGTGCACTTTCCAATACTACAATATACCTGAATTAAAAATTTTTTTAAGTAGCATATTAAATAAGTGAAAAATGTTTTTAGGGGATTAAGTACAGTTAGGAGTGTGGAAGTTTTGAAAGAATAAAATTCTGATTTTATAGTGATCATATCTCCAAGGTAACTGATGATTTATGAATATCAAAATTAGGTGCATCTATGTTTACTTACTCAGAAAGTACTATGTTTTGCACAGTTTGATATCTGAAAGAATGGCAGTGGTGCGGCAAGCAGGAAAATTCTAAGAATACTTTTCCCTGCCAGTTTTCCTGTTCTCCCCCTTCACCCCAGCAGTTTACATCTGTAGGAGAGTGTGCGTCTCCCCAGTGTGAAATACATGAATACCAAAATTATACTCCTGGCCAAAATCTCAGTCTTTTACAAAGTAACTTTCAGATCAATTGTACCTTCTCTGTTTAGGGATCTGGTTGTCTCAAAGCTTAAGAGTATTGAAAATGCTACTTGTTTTCATAGCTGCCCTAAACTTGGTGGGAGGGAGGGGGCGATATCACATTTATCTGTCGTTTTTCATTTCAATCAGCTTCAAAATTATTTAAAACAGAATTGAAGGGTGGAAACAACCCAAGCGTCCATCAACAGGTGAATGGGTAAATAAAATGGAAATAAATACAGTAGGGTATTTTTCAGCCATAAAAGGAATTCTGACATGCTACAACTTGGACGAACCTTAAAAACATGCCAAGTGAAATAACCAGACATAAAAGGACAACTATTGTATGATTCCATTTATATGAGGTACCTGAAGTAGGCAAATTTATAGAGACAGAAAGTAGAATAGAGATTTACCAGAGGCTAGGAAGATAAGGAAATGGGGAATTATTGTTTAGTGCATACAGAATTTCTATTTCGGTTGATGAAAAATTCTACAAATAGATAGTGGTGATGGTTGTACAATATTGTGAATATACTTAATGCCACTGAATTCTACACTGAAAATGGTTAAACTGTAAAACTGATGTTACGTATATTTTACCACAATAAAAAAGAAGTTTAAAAAAACCAGCATTGAAGAAATGAAAGGTGGCTGTCATCACACTTCTTCCTCTAGCACTGCATGACCTTATCCCTTCCTATCCTAACTCGGGGTGCTGTACCACCTAGGAAAGGTGTGTGTGTGAAGGGGTACCTTTTGTAACCCTGCCCACCTATGGGCAGGTGAGGACAATCATCTTCTGTTGCAGTTCCCCCAAATCTGCTGTTTGAAAATCAAGTTCATAACCATAAGTGTGATATTACCCTCATCTATTAGCTTGAATTTTTCATTTGAGATTTTTATAAGGAAACCAATTTTAACTGGAGTCATGGGTCTAGAAACTAATCTAATCATTCATTCAACAAACATTTATTGAGCACCTACTTTATTTATTTTTTTAGCTGAGCCATCCTGCCACCTGTTGGCAGCTCAGCTCGGGCTGGGAATTGAACCAGTGATCCTGTTGTCAGAGCTCGCACTCTTGAGTGAGCTCTTAACCAACTGAGCCACTCGGCTGGCCCTGCTGAGCACCTACTTCATAGGGATATTAAGCTTAGCTAACTAAGACGTGTAAGAAATCCCTGCCCTTCAGGGGTGTGCGTCCAGTTGGGAGAGACTAACATGTAAATAAATCACTACACTGCTGTGTGTGCAGGGGCTCTGATAATGAATCTGCAGGTCCAAAGAGGCCCTAATCTATACAAGCTCAGTGTTGATTCAGTGCTCTCTCTGCTCATTATTTGCTCCTTACATTACTACCAGAATCATCATAGGCAGTAAACCATTTCATATGTTTACATTCTGACTAAAAGAAATGTATGTAGGGGGAAAAAATCTCAGCAACATTTTAAGAGAACCCCAACGCCAATTTGAAATGCTTTCTATCTACGATGTAAATTGCCTTTACATACTAAAAAGATAACTCCAAGCTGGTTTTCTGCCTCTGTCATCAGCCTGGGACTTCCGGTTTCCTTCCCTCCCCCTATTCCAATGCTCAGTATCCAGGGAATGCAAATTATTATCATGAGCCAAAATAAAATTACCATAGGCAAAGAATGATTACCTGGGCATCTGAATTAAATTGTCCAAAACTAAATAGCCTGGACCTTAATTCCAGTTCTGCTGCTTTTTCCTCTTCTCGCTCACAGTTGGCCTTAAGCATTTCCTTTTGCTCCAAAAGAAATTCTATGCTGCTATTTCTATTGCAAGAGAAGAAAGAGACCCTTGTTGGTAATTTCTGGTTTCGTGAAATAAACCATCAGTCAGGAGCTTCAACGCTCCTTCCAGATCCTATGTTAGCATCCCAGGTCTAGCAAGCCAAATCCAAGTTTGTAGTTTTAAGACATTGCCAAAGTACATGCAACTTTTCAGGTTAACATGAGAAAAATAAATGCACAGAGGTTGCTTCTAACTTCCATCAGGAAGCACTTTCTTCCTTTCCCTCTACTACTTTTGTGGTTCCCCTGAGTCCCCTAAATAGAGAGCAGCCAAGCTGAGGTGTCAGGAGCGCAGGTTGTGGTAAGATCTGTTATGTCTGTGTTGTCAAACTTGGTTGGTTGTCAGAATATCTGAGGAGCCCAGGGGAAAAATAGACTCCTGACTCCCTCACATCGAGATTCTGATATAGATCTTCTAGAGATGAATTCTGACATAGATCCCCTTTTCGTGCCCGACTATACCCACCCCATCCCCAAAAATCATATTGTCAGGGATGGGGGCGCCATACGCTGTGAGGATTGGCAGAGAGGAGGTAGGATTAAACCGATACAGTACTGGTAACGTGGCTACGAGATCATGGCTTTTAGGTTGTTAACTTCTAAACAAGTTAATTGGTTCCAAAGTTCAATGTAGTTTGACATACTGTTTAAAAAAGATTGCCCTCTGCTGGCCCAGAACACTGTTCTGAAAAAGGTTCTACACATTTTTATAATGGGTAGATATAAACATCTGTTCTCTGTGACTTGAAGCTGTTTTCCTAATTGAAATAATATAATTTTTTAGAGTAAGAAGGAACTTCGTGAGTCAGCAAATCCAGCCTCCTTTCCCTGACAGAAATCCCTTTTATACTAGCCCTGATATACTGATACATTACTTTACAAAGTGATACAATATTTGTCACAAAAATAGCTGTTTTGCAGAGGAGGGTCACAGCCAAGGAAAATGCACTTAGCATTATCACCCAAAAGCATGATTTACTTGGCCAGATGATAGGGTGAAAATTGCAGTGAACAAAAATTAAGGCAGCAGGGTGACACTTCAATTATTTTTAATCTTTTATTATTGCTAGCTAGGAAAATATTTTGATGAGTGAAAGGAAGTAAGGACTAAAACAAGCCAGTCTGTTCTGTATAAACATAACTTCTACCCTTTATACTCCATAATGTAAACTATTATTAATAACAACCCACCCTAAATCCGGAGAGACCACACCAAAGGGCCACACATGAATGAGTTGGACTTTGTCTCTGGCCAGAAATCACTTAATAGAACAAGTCTACTTGTTTTTAACGACTTACATTTTATCCTGTATAAGTTTTTCTCTTTTATTCACATCTTCAAGGTTTTCATCTACATCTTGGGAATATTGTACCAAAGTAAGATTCTGCTCTTCCAGCTCTGTGAAGATTTGAAGTAACTCCTCTGGCTCTTTGAAATAAAGCTCTGGCTCCTAATCAATCAATAACGAAGAAGACAATTCACTTAAAAAATATGCTGCCTATGCACATGTGGCTTATCTAGGAAAATACAGTGAGGTCAAGGAATACCATTCTGATTGTGAGGGAGACAAAGCGAGAGAATGACAATGGAGCCTATTTCCATGTGAGAGCTGGCCCTCAGGAGAAGGACATTTGGGGACTGGGGGAAATGAAAGGTATTGGGAAAAAGGAAGAAGAGGGTGAGGAAGAGAAGCAAGGATGAAGCGGATGAGGCCAGGGCAGGGGAAAGGACAAGTGGGTCCAGGGAAAGGCAAAGGAGAAGAAACAGAAGAAAGATAAAGACAGAGAGCAGAGTGAAGGTCATTTTTCTCCCCACATTTAATTATTTTACATTTCCCAAAATTTTGAGAACAAGTATATATTACTTTAATTTTTAAAAAGATGAGTTGGGTATTTGCACACCCATGTTCATCATATTTCCTGTAGCCAAGAGATGAAGTAACCTAAATGTCCATCGATGGGTGAATGAATAAAGAAAATGTGTTTTATCAATACACTGGAATATTAACTAGCCTTAAAAAGAAGGAAATCCTGTCACGTGCTACAACATGGGTGAACCTGAAGGACATTATTTTAAGTGAAATAAACCAGTCACCAAAAGACAAATACTGCATGATTCCACTTTTATGAGGTACCTAAAGTAATCCAACTTTTAGAAAGTAGAACAGAGGTTGCCAGGGGCTAGAGGGAGGTGTTTCGGGGAGTTGTTCATGGGTCTAGTTTCAGTTTTGCAAGGTGGAAAAAGTTAGAGATCTAGTGCACAACAATGAGTATATAGTTAACACTGCTGTACCATACACTTAAAGATGGTTAAAAACATTTTATGTGTTTTACCACACAAAAAAAAGGTGACTTGGGTAAAGTGTGTTATATATGATAATGGGTGGTGTTTTAAAGTGGTTTTTGTTCCTTTTGAGTTTCTGTGGTTGTATGTAGGGTGGAGTTAGCTCAAAGTTAGTCTTGTAGCCATGAAGGGCTGTTTTGTTAAGAGTCAATTTATCTTACAGTTCAGCTACTCAATATATCTTAAGCCCCAATAAAATGATAAGCAGTCAGGAATTAGCTATGTTTACAGGGAGACTGTACATAATATATATCTCCTAAATAATTACCATGTTACAGACATTTATTTTTCATAAAATGTCTGATGACAAAGATGAACTATATATACAACTGGGGAACAGTATCAAAATCATATTTCCTTCTGGAAAGTTGTGGACTATTTGGAATAGGAAATTTTAATTTCAAAAGAAGAAAATGAGCATCTATACATTTCACCAGACACAATAGTTAAATCAAGAAATAAAACCTGGCTACCAGATCACAGTCCGTATCCTCATCTAAAAAGAATTCCAAACTGTCTTTTGAGCTTGTACTTTCAGATCGGCTGGAAAAGAAAAAAGAAAAAGAAAATGCCTGATTTCTGAGCCATTTTCTGTCAACAGATTTGCTTTCGCTTCTACATTTTCTTTGGGACCTAACTGTAACACAGTTCTTTCCAACAGCCTGGTTAGCCTTTCAGGGAGCTGCTTCTTGCAGAAATCAATGGATTCCATGAGTAAGCAAAAGCAAACCGGCTTCACCCAAACAAGGGTGACCCATGCAAACAATGGGACCACAAGGAAGGGCCGTACCGCACAGTGCCGATTATTGGAGGTGCATCTAGGAAGTAAGGTTGTTTTGTTCGTTTGGTTGGTTTTTTAAGAAACACATGACAACCTCCATTGCCACATCCCTTTTGTCCATTTTAATGTAGGCTTCTTGAGAAACCAAAGGTGCTCTAGTGCTCAAAACAAAGCTTTTGCCCTAAGAGATACAATATTTGTCTTCTTAAGAGATTTTATTTTTCAGAGTATTTTCCGATCAGGCTGAGGAAATGCTGATTGAGGGGGTGGGTGATGAGGTACATCCTTAAAGGATAATTAATTGCATGGCTTGCAAAGTGGCTCTGGAAAAATTCTTTAGGAAGGATATATTGAAAATGATCGGACCATTGACGAGGTAGGAACTTTCCAGTCGAGGGTAGTGATGATGGGAAAAGTGAGTAAGTGGGCGGGGGCAGTGGAGGGAGGAGAACTAGAGACGCAGGAAAGAATGAAACCACAGGAACCAAGAATAGAAGGAAAGACTGGGGCCAAAACAAGCAACAAGGACTGATGCCAACATTTGTAGTCTGTGAGCCTGGAATAATGGAGGTAGCACTAACACAAAGGAAAACGGTTTAAGGGTGGGATTAAAAAAAAAAGAGTAATATTTGCTTTGTTCATGTTGAGCTTGAGGGCACAAAATAGCTACCTGGAGCTGCCCTTTAAACAAGGGGAATTAAGCCATGGGAAAACAGAGAAAGGGCCCAGGAGGGCGTGAATATCTGGGAACCATCCCGTAAGGAAGCAAGTGATAACAGCTGCCCACCGCTCTCTTCTCCTGGATTCAGTGACATCAATTTCTCATCAGTCTTCTCCCACCTCTCTGAAAATCTTGTTACCTTTTTAGGTTCCTTTTCTACAAAAAATGTCTGTGCTTCCTCAGCCTTCATCCCCTCTCATCCTACCCGTTCTTTTGGGGGTGATGTCATCATCTTCTCTCATGGATTCCATCACTGCTAATGTACTAATGCCTGCCCCGTCTTGTCACTTTCCCTTGAGCTCTAGACTTTCATGTCCTACTTCCGCTGGACATCAATAGCCACTCGACTGTTCCACAGGCAGTGACAACTAACATCCAAAATTACACTCGTTTCTCTTTGACAACAGGTTAGGGGTTGCCAGGGGCTAATGGGAGTTGAAAGAGGGAAGTGGATATGGCTATAAAGAGGCACCACGAAGAATTCTTGTGGAGATGTTCTGTATTTGATTTATCTTGACTATACCAATGTCAATATCCTAGATGTGATATTGTACTACAGTGTTGCAAGATGTTACCACTGGGGGGATCTGGGTAAATGACACGTGGGATCTCTCTGGATTATTTCTTGCAACTGCCTATGACTCTACAATTATCTCAAAATGAAAATTTAATTAAAAACAAAACAGTGCCTCCTAAATGCCACCATAGTGGAGGACTTCAGTGCCCCTGGAATTCAGAGCACTGTGTCTATGTTGACTTTTGTCACATGTGATTGTCATGGATACTGCAGTGATGGCCCAGGTCCTTTCCTCGGGGCCAGTATATCCAACCTGGGCATCAATATATTTTGTTAAAGCTCCTTGAGGGAGCCAGGGTTGAAACAAACAAACGAAAATGATTTATTGCAGCAATTTTGAATGATGTGGTAAAATTTAAAACGCACAGGCCAGGAAAGCAGCTTAATACACAACTGGGCAGTAGATTTTGAGAGACAAAGAGCTGAGATGCAGGGGACCGGCAGTTTCTGCAAACAGCAGTTTCAGGCCCTCATTGAAGAACGCAGGGAGGCCTGTACGAGCTCAGTCGCCTGAGGAGTGCGCAGAAATGGCAACTACTACCTCCAGCATCTGTTACAATGGGTGTGGGCACATGCCATACATTGAAGAAAGGCTAAAAGAGATATTTGCTAAAAGACAGTCACAGTTTCCAAGAGAGCTAATTAAGAATGTACTGTACTTTGATAAGGATGATTTCTTAGGCTCTAGGATGACACTGGGCTTCCTGGATGGTTTTCCTGTTCAAAACGTCCAGGTGAAGTCCATGTCATTGGTGATGGTGAAGATGGAAAGAAATAACATGCAATTAGAAATTAATCCTTGTTGCTTGGTGCAAGCTATTCATTTTTCTGCATGGATATGCCCACTACCTTTAATTATTACAATGATAATTGTGTAGAAAATGCAGCTCTTTTATCCTACTGAAATTAGGTTCCGAGCATAAGAATAAAATGAAAGGCATGCTGGTTGGAGGGTGGCATTTGTCAAAAACATGATATAAATGTCACAAATCAGGATATAAATTGTGAAATATAAGCCATGGCTCTATTTTCACTAAATCGTATATATTTCTAATCCCAGGTATTTTAATTGAGGGAAAGAGTTAAAAGGATGGCCACTTCAATCCTTCCACCTTGTGGAGAAACCTACCATTGCCACATACAAGTCACCCATGCACTTGACCCCCACACATCAGTGTCTACCCCCGATCCTGGTCTGAGACTGAGCCCTGGACAAAAATAGTCTTGGATCTTTTCATCCAGTGGTGACCCCCAGGTCCCCCCAGAACATCTTTCCTCACGCCAGCACTCTTATGACTCCCAGCCACTCTTCCTGCTATTCCGTCTTAAAACCACAGCAGGCCTCACTCTCCCCACCCTCTGTCTTCCAGGTTAGCGCCAGATCAAAACCAGAGGTGGGCACACCTTCTCTGGTTTGACTTTTGTGAGTGAGTGAGGTCCCAAATCTCATGTCTTACCTGGGCTCCCTCTTCCCAGAGGATGGTCTTCTAAAAATGATGCCCCCCTGGTGCCCTCACCACTGCTCTCTTTTTTCTTTGTATTTAATTCTAGAAATGGAAAATAAAAGAGGAGAGAGACGGGGTGAGGGAAACCACTTCTGAGAATGAGAGCTTTGTCTCAGAATGAAGGTAGACTCGCTATGGAAATGTCCAGAGAAAGAAATGTAAGATGGGGACATTGTCACCAGCAGATCTGTGATGTAGGTGGCCAGGGCTGGTCTCTGGGGCAGGCAGAATGGATGGAGACCGACCCACAGAGCACAAAGAGGCCTCTGTTTTCCGTGTCAATCTGTCGTCACCTCTAAAATCCCACTGTGAGCCACTCACTCCGTGGACTGAGACTCACTGCTGTGTGAGCATCCTCTAGCTGGATGACACGTCTAGGAGCACTGCATCTTAAGCTGTTAGGTGCAAATATTTCTCGCTTTTCCTTTCATTTGTTTTTTCTCTGGTCAAGCACCATGTGTTGGGTTTAATCAAGTGTCCTCACTGTGCTGGCTATTTCATGTGCAACGATCAAATGTAATCGCACTCAGCACAGTGAAAAAAGACACAAGGGAACAGAGCAGGGCAGCCATTGGTGGTGTGCTAGTAAATGTTTAACAACCAGCTCTCCGGGGGAAAAAAATCCTCCCTGATTTTTAGTTTACCGATTCCTGTGATGTACGTGTTCTTTAGCTCAGTCTCAGGATCAGCTGTTCAGCTGAGGACCCTGCAGATCCTCAGACCTCTCTGGGTAGCTTTCTCCTCTCCAGTGCTCCCCTCTGGAAACTCCAGTCACTCTGGCCTCCCTGCACCCCCAGCTCTGGCTTTTCAATTCATGGGGGCTGCTGGGCCCTCCATGGGCTGTCCCTCCCTAAGCTGCATCCTGGGGCCATCATCAAGCTGCATTTCTCCTTGATGTCCAGTGTCTGAAAACTCTTGCTTCAAATAGTTTTCAGACTTTTCAGGCAAGAGGGTGTCCGGTTCTTGTTACCCCAAAGTTACTAGAAGTGGCAGTATTCCCATTTGACTGGTGACCCCACTTTGACCACTTACTAAGTTCTTATACATAATCGGATCTATTATCTGGTCCACTGAACAGACTTCCAAACCCCAGTACCATACAGTTTTAATTCCTGAGACGCTTGTCATAATATGCTACATATCTTAAAAGATTAGTAACCCTTCACCATTACCTCCTTTCTTTGAAAGTGTTTATTTTTCTACATAGAACTTCGAATCATTGTATAAAGTTATCCCCAACCCAACACCCAATTCCCTGACACATTTTTGGTAACATTCATCTTATAATTCCATAAAACTAATACATTAATCTGAGCAAAATTGGCAGCTTTACAATATCAATATTTCTGTCTAAAAACACGACATATTTCTCTATCTGTCAAATCTCCAGGTCACATAATTAAGGTTACTGTTGCTTTCTTGGATTTAATTTTCTTGTATATTTTCTAATTAAGAAAGTTAGTTTATTTAGGTTAATAGGTTAATAAAGTATAATTGACTTTGTGTTTATCTTTCACTCTACCGAATCCTTTAATAAAATCAAAGTTTTTCAGGTGTTTTACAGGGGGTGAGTTCTAGGTATGGTATCAGATCATCTGTAAATATATTTTCTATTTCTTCACATATATATTTTTTATTGCTTTGTTTCTGAAATTAACCTGAATTTCCAGAGATAGTGGGAATCCTTGTTCAGGTTCTGCTTAAAATGGAAATAGTAATTATTTAATAAATAACAAACACTAAAGCAGGACATTTTAGAATTCAGGCTATTTACTTAATTGAAATTAAGAATATGTGACTCACTTGTTAATTCTTTTGAAAGAGTGACATTCACATTTTCTTTACTCTTTGATACCTTCGCCTTTTTCAGCGCTTGCTGGATTTGCCAATGTTTTGGAGACAATTTCAGCAGAAAAAATCCATATTTCATGTACTCCCTGAGGAGGAATTCTGTTTTTGATATTTCACTACTCAAAGGAAACAAAGGTATAATTAGATATACCTGTGTGAAAGCATGTTCATTTTTTTAAAAAAAGGTTTTACACAATTCATTCTCTTGATTATGTATTTGCATAATATCTTAGCAAAAATTATAAATATGACCATAAAAATATGGGCATCAATAAGACATGAGAAGAATCTGTAGGAATGCTATTTGAATAAAACATGCCCCAGGATATGCACAGATGGGATAGACTGATGACAGTTTGACTCTACTTACTCATATGTATTTCTGAGGGAAATATTACATTAACTTTTAGACATAGGGAAAAATTAGAAGATAGCAAAAGATGGTACTTATGTGAGGAGAAGAAGGGAGATGCTCAATGAGCACCTAATATGTGCTGGACAATACACAGGCCACGCTACAGATATAATTTCATCCCCAGCACAGCACCTTAAAATAGGTATTATCATCCCTATTTTTGGGAAGAAGAAGTGGATGACTTGCAAAGTCATCTGTCTGGGAAATGGCAGAGCCAGCACTCAAGCCTGGGTCTGCCTGGCTCAGATGCCCAAGCTCTTGCCAACAATCCCCAGTGACCTGGACTGAAAGCCTTCCCCTGGCCTCGCAGGGCTTTCCCATAATCACGTTTCAAAGTGGACTCGGAAGGAATGTTTAAAATCACAGCGAAGGCCCTCATGAAAGCGAGCTCCACCTTTATTCTTTAGAGCCTTCCTTATCGGCACCCTCATCAATACCCTTATCAATATCACTTCTATATCAACATCTTCAGCTTCAATGCTTCTGTCAGTCAAAGCCTTCCTGAAGCCCTGGTGTGCGAGTGATATTCAAGAGTCAAACCTGGATGTTTTTTACTCTGGTCAAGTGTACCTCACTTGATCTAATTTTAAATATCTAAAGAAGCTCACATGTCACCAGTCACTGATGTTGGGAGCCCCTCATCTACCACCACTTTCTTTTTAAATTGAAAGCCTCTCAGATGTGCTACTAAAAACAGGGTGAAAATACCTAGAATGACACCACTTCCGAGCAAAAACTTCAGAACCAGCTCCCTTTCCCTTTGGAAACAGATTTCCGGCCCTGCCTGCAATGGCGGGCCTCCAGGGCCATCTCTAGCTCAGAGAGAGAGAAGAGGGAAGTAAATAGCAGGGGCCTGCATCCCTTGCTCTATTCTCAGCTTGTTTTCCATTACCTTTTGCACCTTGCTAAGATAATGAGACACGTAAATAATCCGCAAATTCTCTTCAGCAAGGCTGTTTGGAGGATTTAACTGGGTGGCCATTGTGCATGAATACAGTACTTTGTGCAAACATAGAGGCTACTGTTCTAGTTCCATAAGTAGAACAGAGTCATCTAATTACATTATGGAGTCAAGGAGGAAAAGGAAGTCTCTATCTTCTAGACTCCCAACATAAAAGAGGCTTCTATAGCCAGAATGTGCTTGAAACATACATTTTGTTAATAACAATTGGTTTCAGAGAAACTACCATCCAGTTTATTTGCTGCATTTTAGACAAGGCTGTTGTCCTCCTCCTCAAAAAAGTCTAACAGGTAAGTCTAGAATTTGGTTTTAGAGGAGAGCTAAACATCAAGTCCTCAAAAAGAAAAAACAAGTTTTAGCATGACTTGATATCAAGATTGCAGTGTTTCCCAGATCATAAAATTACTGCCCAAGGATGACGACAGAAGGAAGCTTCTTTAGACATTTAAAATGAGATCAAGTGAGATATACTTGACCATAGAAGATAATATCCAGATTTGGAAAAAAAAAAAAGAGTAGCAGGTGGTACAATAATTTTATCTCAGCTTTTCCTCCTGTACTTTTGTCATTATGGACCCCAGTTTTTAATATCAATGCTAGGTTGAACTAAGCAACCTATAAGTAAAAATATAAATAATACTGCCAATTATAATTGCAAGATGATTGCGAAATGAATCCCCATTGCAAAGATGTTAAAATGTGGGGAGAAATGTGCCTTAAAAAGAAAGAAAAAGGACACTTAGAAAATAATTTGTTTACTCCTGACATCGGTTTGCTTCTTTTTAACTAATTTCTTGGCTTCTGTGATGACAAGTTTGAGAAACTTCTCAGCCAGAGATCACTGTACCGTCCTGATACCCAGGCAGGAATGATCCTTGAGAGACAGATTACCCTTTTAAAAATGTGGTCATACTGATGAAATCATCAGCTGATAATGATTATTCTCTTAGGTCTTGCCAGGCACAAATAAGTTTCAATGGGGTGTGGACAGTTGATAAGGAAAAGATGGCGCCCTGTCCTCACCTTTTCACTGCCTGTACCTCCATACTCGCTTTCTTTAGCTCTGCAGTCATTTGGAGTTTGTTTATAGTCTCTTGTGCTGCACTGAAAAGTAACAGAGATTTGTTAGTATGTTTTGTGTTGTGTTGTACTCTGAGAAACTAAGAAGAAGAAAGAAGGAGGTAAAAAGCGATTTGTCCAGAATGAAAAAAACGAACATTTTAAGGGCATCTGCAGATCTCTGGTCATTTTCTCGAAGGAACTCTTCAAAGGCAATTGCATCTTCTTGGAGCTTTGTTTCTGCTTTCAGGAGTTGCCGTTCCTTTGTTGCTATGTATTTATCAAACTTTGAGATTGTATTTCTTTTGGTTGACAGAGCATACTAGGAATATTGAGAACAGAAGTGCATTGAGAACATGATTCCACATTTCTAGTACATTTCAACGGTCTCATAATAAAGGGGAGGAAAACTTGCATTGTACGTGATCATGTGTATTAGGAAAAATGGTATGCCCAAATTTGGGAGCCATGGCCTTTATTTCATGAAGAAATTTTATTTGGGGGATAATTAGATGGGAGACTAATTCCTCTCTTTCACTTTTATAAAGAAGTTCAATATTGTTCCAAAATGGCTGTGCCCCACAAATAAAAAATAGCTACATATTGCCATATTGCTCCAAAGAGCAGGTCCACCTGATATTACCCAGCGTCCCTCCAATACTTTCCGAGCATTGGAAAACTGGGCTGTCTGCAGCCAAGGAGGCTTCTCCCATAGGACGTACCCAGGGAGAATCCGGTTCCCACGCTGCTGTGCCAGTGACTCCTGCCCGCAAGCCAGCCCATGGGTGGGAGTGTTTAGCCTCAAAGAGCCCCATTCAAGTCCCCGAATCCAACTTTGACATCAAGCATCTGTATTTTTTAGTACAGAATATAAGAATGCACTTGGGTTTTTAATACTATGCATGGAAAATAAACTATAAACAAACAAAGCCACATACATTATAAATGAACTAAAAATATGTAAAGGAGATAATTTTAAAGAAACACAACCAATAGTTAGATACTCCAAGTTTCTAACAAAAATATATTTCATGTACTACTTTATTCGCCAAGTATTTTTTGAGTGTGTACTGTGTGCCAGGACTGTTTGAAGTGTTATTAATAGAGCAATGAATGAAATAAATAAAATTGCTTTCATGGGGTATACATTCTAGTGCAGGTGGGAGTTGAATAAAGGGGAATAAGGACTCCAGTGGGCAAGCGCAGGGGTTGCCATTATGATAGCCAAGGAAAGCCTCCCTGATATGGTGAAAATTAAACTGGAAGGAAGTAGGGAGCAAACCATGTGGATATCTGAGGGAAGAATGTTCCTCCCAGAAGGAAGAGCCTCCTGTGCAAAGGCCCTGAGGCAACAGCATGGCTTGTGTGTCCCAAGGCCAGTGTGGCTGGAGCAGATGGAGCAAGGGGAGAGGGGTAAGAATGAGGAGAGAGAGAGAGAGAGAGAGAGAGAGAGAGAGAGAGAGAGAGAGAGAGAGAGAAAGCGAGCTGGGCACCAGATAAGTCATCAGTGGTCTTTAGAGAGAGGCATGTGTGAGAATACACTCCTACTGCTGTGTGGAGAACAGACTATAGGAAGCAAAAGTGAAAACAGGAGACCAGTGTTTAGAAGTTATAACAACAATTCATGCCAGAGATATGAGTCAAGTGGATTACACAGTGACAGCAGTGACAGTCATGAAAAATAGTGTGATTGTGGAAAAAAATATATATATCTGAAAGTATATTTGGATGTAGGTTGTAAGAAGATAGAGTTGAGGATAACTCCTGTATTTTTGGCCTAAGCAACTGGAAAAATGGAACTACTATTTACAGAGCTAGGGAGCACTGCACGAGATGCAGGTTTTCAGGGGAAGGGAAGGGTACAGCAGGGGCAAAGTTTTAAAAATGTAAAATCTGAGGTGTCTGTTGAGCATCTAAGTGGAGATATTAAGAACTGTAGTTGCATTTGTGAGTCTGGAGTTCAGGGGACAGGGCCAGGCTAGAGAAATAAATTTGGAAGTTGTTAATATGGAAGTGGAATTTGAAGCCATGGACCTAGAGGAGGAGGGCAGGTGGAGCACAGGGCGAGGAGTGAGCCCTGAGGCATTCCGTCATTTAGAGATCAGGGAGAAGGGGAACCAGAAAACTGTAAAGCAGTGAGCAGCCAGTGATGTGGACGACCCAAGAGATGGAGTGGGTCCTGGAAATGAGCTGAAGAAAGTGTTTCAAGAAAGAGGAGGTGATCAAATGGGTCAACTGCTGCTGAAAGGTAAGTAAAAGGGAGACTGTGAGATGACAATTCAAGCTTGGCAATAGAAAGGCAGGTCATTGGTAACCTTGACAAAAGTGGGGCTGGTGGAACGATGAGGAAGGACCAAAGCCCGACTGAGGTGGGTTTAGGAGAGGATAGGAAGGGCAGTAGATCTGGGGTAATGGAAAAATAAAACGTCAAGGTGAAAATTTGGCAGCGCTATGCAAGAAGTCTTCTATTTGGCTAATGGGAGAAAAAGTATTTTTACTACCTCAAGCAGAAACCTGTTTCTTTGGTCATTAATGAATTCCTGGACAGTCTTTTTTGTGTCTGCACCTTTAAAGAAAATTGAAATTGATTTAGATTTAGTTCATTATCTCTCAAAGATGTATAAAATCAAAGCTATGCAATTAAATTATTGCATACCGTATGTATGGACTTAAAAACTAATTTAATAAGAGTAACTACCACTTACTTTGTGTCCATAAATTCCAGGAATTTTATTAGAGAATTTAAATACGTGATTTTATTTAATCCTCACAATAACCCCAGTCAGGTACTTATTACTATCCCCATCCTGTATGTGAGGCCCTGAAGCTCAGAGGTGTCAAGATACCTGCCCAAGATCACACAGCTAACAAGTGGAAGGAGGGGCAATGACTCCTAAGCCTGTGCTAAATAAGACTAAACTGTTTTAAATCTTCACTTTTTGGCCAATCTAGACATAAAATTGAACTCTTTAGGCACAGTGTATTCGGGGATCACAAACCGAATTTATGGCAGGAAAGGAAAATATGTCAACCAGCTTACCACCTAGCAATAGAAAATACCAAAAATTCCTTTCGTGGTGCCTTTGTTTTGGAGAAATTACATATAGTCTACATTTCAATAATGTTCGCTTTGTGAAAAACCAACAGAATGTGCTACCAAATTAAATCTTTTAATAAAAATGTAAATGGAAGTAGAAATAAAGTAGTATTTCCCAAATAGCCAGGAGCCTGTGCTGCACCAGGAAGCCCACAGTCTTCCGGGGACTGTACCCTGCCCTTACCGCTCACTAGCTGTGGGAACGTAAGTAACCTATGTACCCTCTCCAAGCCTTAGTTTCCTCATCTGTAAAATGAAGATAATAATTGTGGTGGATTGTATTGTTCTAAAATATTTGCTGCCCCACTCTGTGAGAAGATTATTGCTACTCCCCACTGGCCCCACTCCGTTGACGTCAGGTTTGACCACTAACTTCCTCTGGCCCATGGAGTGGGAGTGGAAGCGACCTATGTTTCTCCCATTAGGAAGCTTCCAGAGCCACCACCTGGTTCTCTCACTCTCCTTCTGCCGTAACTCCAGCAAAGCCCCAGACGGGGGCTGTTCCTTCAGTGCTGGACTCAGTGAAAACAACAAAGTTGACAAGTGAATGAGGAAAGAAAGCTCTGTTGTTGTAAGACACTCAAATTTAGGAGTGGTTTATTACTATAGTGTAAATTAGCCCAAGTGGATATATTACTATTACTTTCTCTACCTTATAGTGGTATTGTGAGAAGGAAATGAGGAAAACACATACTAATTTCTTAATAATGGTTATCTATTATTATTTCAAAAATACAATGGGAATGGGTAATCACTTAATTTTTCACTAATAATAGTAATAATGATTATTATAATCATTAATTATAGTTCTGTGAGAGTGGGTAACAAACAAGCAACTTTGGAGTCAGACAGGCGTTGATTTGAATTCTGCACCCACTTAGTGACTTTGAATAAGTGACTCAACTTCACTGAGCCATTTTCATCAGATAGACAGGAGGCAAAAACATCTAACAGCATTTTGTTGGGGATTAAATAAAATAAGATACGTGAAAGTAATAAGCACCTACTTAGCACAGTTATCTTTTTAATATATTTTTAAATACCTTTTGTTACAGAAATCATCAACATTCATAAAAGTAGTCATTTAATGAATTGCCTCCCTCCCTTCCCCACTTCCTTCCTTCCATTTTTCTTTCCTTCCTTTTTAATTTAAAACTTTGGACAAGACTCATTTGGGGGGAGGATTATATAACTCGAACATCCCAGCATTAATCACTCTAACCTCATTAGCTTCAAACTGCTTTCTATCTCATTTGTAGGCACTCCTTGATCTCATAAGTAGGAAATACCCCTGACATTTTGATTACCAAGCTGCCCTCTTTCATACAGCAATAATTAATAGCTTGTAGTACTTTAGCATATTGCCTTCATCGACCATTAAAACAGGTTGTGCTTTTGCAACAACAGACAAACTAATTTAACTCTATTAGCTTCTTGATGCTGGATATATGAGTTGGATGGCCCGGACAAGCAAGACTTGTATTTAGAAAGTTTCTATAGTTCTACATCTTGAACTGAATTTAAATGGCCAGAGCCACGACCTTTAATACTATATCATTTTGGTAGTGACTTCCTTCCTTAGAGCCATGAAAATGAGTAATAGTCTATATCTTGGGAAAGTATGATTTCTTATTTAAAAGAGACTTTCTCCCAACTCTCAACCCTCATTTACAAAGACCACCCGCTCCCCCACCATATTGAGACAGCACACTTTCTTACCTCCAGAAAAGCTACCAAATCTGATATTAATAGTAAATATTCAAAACGATGTTCTTAAACAAACAGTAATTTCTACTTACCTTCTGTTAACCTGAGAATAAGAGTGGGATCTAGCTCAAATTTTTCAAGTGAGTCACCAGCTGTGTCAGAGTAGAATACTATTTGGCTCAGGTGTGAACGACTCTTCATTCGGGACGAGAAAGTAGACTTTTGGTGGACTTTCATGCTGCGGTTCAAAAAATTTTCCTGCCCAAGTGAAGAAGTTTAAAAGGATTTCTAATATGCCAAAATAATGTTGCCTTAAAAGCGATCATGTGTAAAACATAGCATGTGCAGCAGGTGTTTTTCTCATTGCTAATACATTAAAACAAGCAACCTCAAGTTCTTGTCTTGGAAGATCTGTGTTTAGTTTTCAGTTCCTTCTCATATAAAGCTAAGCACAAACGTAAAAACATGCAACCTTTATTAAAGATGTACATAACAAATACGAGACTGGAAAATGTTGCTCTGGCTTTGTTGTCACAATTTTATCTTGCCCAAAATGCAGGAAACTTGAAAATTCCACTGATTTGAAAAGCATAGAGTGATCCTGTGAAATTGAAAACTTGAGAGGAAATGGACTTCCCCAGTAGACATAAAAAAAAAAATCAGCCTTCTGACTTCGTGAAACTTATCTCAGTTTAATTTTGGATACTCTTAATCAAACTGTTGAACTCATGTGTAAAACTATCACCCTATAGATGAACCAGTTATGGAGCATTTCTGGATATTTTCCTCATTCTTTTGAAAAAATCCTGCAATCAACCATTACTTCTAGGCATAAGGAAAGAAAACCTCATGAAATGTGAGCAATGCAATGTAAGTAGCGAGATGAACTGTAAGGCACAGCTGGGAAGTTAACCTCATGGCTGATTTAGCTTCATACCAAATAGTTCTGAAATGACACCCTCTCTTCCACTTCTTCCTTCCCCGAGCCCCCTCCCCAATACATACATATACAGTCTCTTATCTGTATCTCCCTGGCAAATTTTGACTTGTTCTTAATTCTGTTCCTGTTATCTCCTCAGTGGACTCTCGGCGCGCATACGCGTATATAATTAAAAGGAAATGAAAACATGCGCGCGCACGCGCGCACACACACACACACACACAACCACCACCGTCCTTTTCCACTTCTTGCCAATAATCACTTTCTCTAGATTTCCTTTGTATGCTTCTATTACTATATTTCATTAACCTCAAGATGACATTTATTGTAAGATACACTATTATTTTATGCACTGCCAATTATGTATAGCATCCCATCTCTATAAACTGGATCCCAATTTCAGGAATGAGAAAATGCATGAAAATGTGAGTGTTAAAATCAATGAAGGGAGGGTGTACCATACGTGGTCACAGCAGATTGTAGTGGCGTGTCTGTCTTTCCCCAGTAGGGCGTGATCATCAGGTCCCTACCATGGGCTGGGTGCTTACCCCACGTGGTGGGTGTTTACACCATCCCCCAGCACAGTGTGTGGCACATGCCTTATCATCTGACTCCATGTCTAAACTCAGCAAAATTCAAAATTCATAAAAGTGATGGAGAAGTGGGTATGTTTCTAACATTAATCGGGATTGGGGTTTTAATAAAACCTTACCTTTTTCTTTGTCATTTCATCTTCTTTGTCAAGAAAGAGATCTTTAAAAAAGACCCTATATGGCCTCTCCTTTTTGAGGGAGTCATCTTTTACTTTATCTGTTAAGAAAAAAGAAAAGGAAGAAGGAAAAACTTCTGCCATCCCTCCTCTGTTGACCCGATGGCAAGGCTCCCACCAGCCAGGGTAGAGTAAGTGGGACATGTGGGTCTCCAGGCGGAGGATGCAGTTAGCCTTGCGTCCCCATCTGAGGTAGGGATAAAGAGCCTAGGTCTAGGGGAGGAGCCACAGGCCATCTGTTTCCCATGGCACTTAGCGTAGTGCTTAGCGATTCATGGGGACTGATTCTACATTTGTTGCGTAAATAGATAAGGGGACCTGTTACAAGATAGTGGGATCATGTCTTGAGATACTAACATGTTGATTCTCCCCACCACTTCAGATATACCCGCCTATATATAGGTATATACCCTTAACACTATCATTCTCGCCACAGTAGACACAGTCAATACCCTCAGTCTAGACTAGAGTCTTAAAAGACAAAGATGATAACAAGTATGGCAAGAATGTGGAGGAATTGGACCCTCACACACTGCTGGTGGGAATGCAAAACGGCACAGCCACTTTGGAAAGTAGCCTGGCACCTCTTCAAAAAGTTGAACATAGAGGTGCCATATGATCCAGCCATTCTACTCCCAGGTATATATCCAAGAGAAATGGTAACACTCGTTCACACAAAAACTTGTACATGAGTGTTTATAGCGGTAGCTTAGCTTTAGCTCCCTCACTGTTCTTAACAAAGTAATATAAATCCTTTAATAAAAAAGGGATCATTCAATACATACTAGTCTACTATATGAATCTTATATTGTTTTCAGTTAGCAATATATTTAGGTGTTCTTTTTACATATATATATATATATATATATATATTTAAAATTATATATTACATATATATATATATATATGTAATATATAATTTTTAAAAATAGCTATCTAGCATCCCAGCATCCCATTCTTTGGATGTATCATATTTTATATAACCAATCCCATTCCAATGGACATTATAGTTGATTCCAGCCTTTTCCTATTATAAACCATATTGTGATGAATATTCTTGTACACATCTTTAATCACGCATGCAGATATGCCTGTAGAATAAATTGCCAACAAGGCCCTATGTTAGGCAAAATGATTTCTGCTGATTGACATGACCAAGGCCACCTTAAGAAACAAGTTGCTCTCAGTGACTGATGGTTCAGGGCCCTATCATTTGATAGGAGTGTTCTTACATAGATAAGTAAGCCTATTAAGTTGTCTAATGCTTTGGAATATATGGCTCTTAACAAGCAGGTGTCACTTAGCTACAAGCCATCTGTGTTCCTGGAGGCTGTATGTATTAAGCCTCCATCCCTTTTTGGGTGTGGAGATCTACCTTTTTGCTGACACCTTAATTTCCCTTGATAAACTGTTTGTTTAATTCTGGCGTTCTCAGCTTCTCTCCTCAGTCTCTTGGCCTGTCTTCCTTCAGAGGTCAGTTTCAGTATACATTGGGAAATTTTCCAACACCTTATTTAAAAGCTTTTTAAAAATCTGGTGGTCCACCAGTACCCATTCTCCCTTCTCCTACAGGAATACAGCCCTTCATTCTAGCTTGGCATATGGGCACCCAGAGTAAAGACTGTATTTTTCAACCTCCCGTGGAGCTAGATGTAGCCATATGGCTAAATTCTGGACAAGGGGATGTCAGGGGAAGTGGTGAGTGCAACTTTAGGTAGTGTCCTAAAAGGAAGAGACATGCTTCTCCCCTCCCTTTTCTCCTTCTTGCTGGCAGGAATATGGGTGTGATCACTGGTGCAGAAGCAGCCACTTTGGATCAAGAATATAGGCCAGCAAAGAGCTAGAAGAAGCCTGGGCCCCTCATGTGAGCCTCCATATAGGCCCTGGAATGCTTATGTCCAGACTTTGTTACCTAAGTGAGAAATAAACTTCTATCATGTTTAAGCCACTGTTATTTTATATTTTCTGTCAGTTGCAGCCAAACTTTCTAATTCTAAATATTGATAGGGCCAAATTTCCTTTAAAGACAATTCCTATAGAGAACCTGTTACCCATAACAAATTCTTGGTGTTATCCAATTTTTAAATCTTTGTCAAATTTATAAGTGGAAAAAAAAGTTATTCTTGTACATTGACAAATACTAACTCCTTGTATAGTTGTAAAGAAGTGGGAGAATAAGGAGAGAAAGGGCGGTAAAGGACAGGAGAGGACAGATTCTGACGAAGTGTAGTTAGTTATTCATGTCCTTTATTATGACAAATAATCGATTTTTTTAAAAACCTTAAAACTTCATTTCAGATTAATTACTAAACTAAATAATATACATAATATATCATTTAACATTCAAATAATATATCAGTGGAGAAAGTATTAGTTCAACCTTATTTTTTTTTAATTGTTTTATGTGTCAACAGACTCTAGCAGTCAAGCTAAATATGATGGTTTAATGCTCCTCTAATTTGAAGATTTTTCTTTTGGGAATTAAAAAGTAGAAGAGAACCTTCTCAGTGGGTAGTTAATAAACTCTTCACATAGAGAGACCATGTCTGATGTTTACTGCATAGTATTCTCCTTTTCTTACTCTCCCAACTTACTGTGGAGACTGACTATGCTAGGCACAAAGCAAGAACTCATGGATTGATTTCTTCTTTACCTTCAGGGGTCAATGGCATCGGTGAAAAATGTGGTGACATTTTGTCTCCTGGCCCTGTCCAAAGAAAAGAAAATACATTTAAAATTTTTCTGTGAGCATTGCATAAAGTCACTAAATTCAACTGCCAGTGACCCCCCAAATAGGCTTTATGGATGTTAATTTAAAAGCACACACAAAGTTTTTGAGCCAGCATTTCTACTTCTAGGAACTTATCTCAAGAAAATGATCAGATCAGTGGACAAAAAAGTATGTACAATAATGTTGGTTGCAGTGTTATTTAATAAATAGTTGATTAAATATATAACTATGGTATACCCATAAAATGAATTGCCATGGGGCCCCTTAAAACTATGCTGTTGTCACAATTTACTGCTGTTTACTATGTAAGTAAAAAACAAAATATTTTAAAAGGGAATAGTGTGAATTAAAAAAGAAAAGCATGCCAAATCAGAGAGGCATTTGAAAAATTGTTCACCAAACATTAATAATGGTTATCTCTGATTTAGAGCAATCTCTCTTTTCATTTTTATCAGGTTTGGGATTAGGGATAGGTGAGTGAAGCACTCACCTAAGCTGCAAAATTCAAGAAGTGCCCTGAAAAACTCAGTTATCAACATAAATAGCATATAAATAGAATTAAAAACTTTTTTCAAAATTACTGCAAGAAAAAAGTGAAATGTCAAAAATTTAAATATAGATAGGATCTGACTCTGCACTTATTTGGCCCTCAGAGTGAGTGTCTCACTTGCCACACTCTCGTCCCAGACCACAGATCTTGTTTTTATTTAAAATTTTGATATGTTATTCATTATGGGGTTTTTTGCATTAACATTTATTTTTTTAAACAGTGAATAAAAATTATATTTCAATTCCTTTTTGTCTCTCCCTTACATTTTGCATGCAAGGCAAGTGCCTTACTTGCCTCACTCTAATCCTTGTCTTGAATTTTTATACTTTTTTGTATCATTCCTTGTATCATTTTTACAATGAAAAAAGTAACAATGGTATTTTCATTTTTTGGGGGGTAGAACGATATTCAGGAATTTATATAAAAAGGTGTGCCCACCACAGGAACAATGAAACAAAACATCTGATGTCGGCCTGCTCATTTAAATTTATGCCTCAGTAGTATCAAAGAGCCATGCTTAAGAGCTAAGTGTCCCAGGAGCACTGCAGCAGGCAACTAAGAACACAGACTTCGTAGTGGACAAGCCTGTTGGTATGGCATTTACAGGTGTGTGAGCAAGCTCATTTAACATTCAACAAATATTTATTGAGTACCTACTATATGCCAGTCACTGGTCTAGGTGCTGGAGACAGGACAATTAAAAAATAAGACACTCACACACACACAAAGGACAAAAACATGTACGTATATTATCTCATTAGTGTGTGATTTTACTCTCAGTAATTATAAAAATAAAGATGAAAAAGAGAAAATAAATTATGCTAATGCTTATAAAAGAGAAAAAAAAACTACAGCATTGATATTCTACTTTTTCAGATTACTGAAGATTTTTTCACAAGCATTAGGTTTATTCTGACAGGTGGGAAAGAAGAAGGCTGATGAAAACTTGATGACCATCTGCTGGGTTGCTATATAAAGATTTGTAGAAGATTTCCTTAAGTTTCCGCTTTGTAATTGTCCCCACCCCTAAGGTTCTGCTCTCCTCTCTCTTGTTATACTTCTGTTCCTTCAATCTTTCTGTCCATCTGAATTCACTCCCCTCCCCATCCTCACTCCCATTTTCTTTATCCTAAAAGTCTATCTGCAGCAATAAACACCGTTATCATGGGTCCTGGCCCTTTTTCACTCATAGAAAAGCTGCAAGTTCCTGCTTTTCTACGCCAACTGTTAATAGCAGATATCTGCTCTTATGTAATCTCTCCAGTAATTCACAGGACACGTGAATGGAATAAATAGTCTCTAGAAGTTGTTATACTTCTCTACTTCTGTATGTATTAACCCCCCTGCAGATTAATGAAGGGTGGGCGGAGTACACAGAGGAGATGAGAGCCAGCTATTCTTAGGAAGGGATTACAAAGTTCTCTGAACTGAATCAATATGATGTGCCAACCAGGAAAAAAAACCGTTAACGCTGGTAAATGTCTTTGCTATGCACTTAAAACCTAGTATATATGATGACTAAGGAAAGGCTTGATACCAAGAAAGGGAAAATGTTGTTGGATTGCATAGCAAATGCCTGCAAATTTATATCTAACCTACATGTTCAAATCCAACTTCTGACATGAAAAACGTCAAGAGCTCAGGAAAATCAGGGATTTGAAAATGGTGGTAGGTGATTGCAAGCCATCATTTTTCAACATGACGTAGGCTAGTGGTTAAGAGCATGGACTATCATTATGCTTTTTAATCCTCACACTTCCATTTCCCCATCTTTCTAAAAGGAGAATAAGAATAGCGCCTGCCTGATGGGATTGAGTTAACATCATGGCCCGCCCTTTGGACAGCATCAGGTACATGCTAAGTGCCATGTAGGTGTAACCCATGGAGAAAGCATTCTAAGGAGGGAAGGTACCTGCTGTGTTTGAGGAACAGCAAGGACACTAGTGGCACTTAAGCACAGGGAATGAAGGGAAGAGTGACAGATGAGGTCAGAGATAACAAGGGCCCTAGAGGTCATTTGCTCAGTGGAATGGGAATCATGAAATAAATCACTCGGACTGCTGAGCTGAGAAGAGACTATGGAAGGAGATGAGGGTCCAATAAGGAGAACCTTTTGGAAAAGTACAGCCATCAGGAGGTGAGAGATAATGGGGTCTCGGGGTAGTAGTGCAGTGGTGAGAGGTGGTCAGATTTCAGATATATTTGGAAAGTATACATTGACTGACAAGAATTGACTGATGGTTTGGATGTGCAGTATGAGATAAAGAGCTCAGGAAAGAAAGGATAGAGTTGCCATCAGCGGAGACAGAGAAGGCAGTGGGGGAAGGAGCAGTTGGGAAGCTCAAAGCTTCAGTTTGGAACATGTTAAATTTGGGATATCTATAATACTAGATATCTAAGGGACATGGGTATAAAATATACTGTTCTTCCAAGTGAACACCATGCTGATTGATGCATTTAAATTTTGCATTCCTCTAACATTATGCAGTTATCTGTGGTCAGTGGGTCAGGCCCTTTGATTTGTGTCATCAAAGAGGTAGCAAGAAGGCATTGTGGAAAGACCCTGGCTTTTGGGGGCAGGCAGGTTTGACTTCTGCCTCTGACTCTTATCAGCTCTTTCTTTTAGGCCTATCCAATTAAATTCAGTGTACCTTAGGGTCTTCTACCAAGTATGGATACTAATACCTTTCTTACAGGCTTGTTGCAATTTTCAAACACGGATAATATGAGCGAAGTGCCTACTCACAGTAGGGTGATAAGGAAATAATTAAATAACTGCTTGTAATTTCCTCAAAGTACACATCCAGATCTGCCCTCTTTCTAGACCACTTTGTGTTATGAATAACTACCAGCATTTGAAAATAAGAGGGGTAACTGACAGCTAGCTTTCATAAGAAACCCTGAATTAAAGTTTTTGAGACCAAGTCATTTGAGAGGAATCTACCAGCAATGTCAGTGCAAATTTGGGGAACCTAACCCACCGTAGTGCAGCTTCTTAAGATCCCAAGCTTTGCGGAAGTGGAGAAAGGAAGGGGGTTTTATAACGCCCAAACCTAAAGCCCTATACCAACTCTAAAGAAAATTAACAATATCTACCAGATATTATTGAAAGAAGTTTGTGTTTGAATTTCTCAACAACTCTCTCTACAAACTCAATGAAAATGGATTTCCAGATTCTCTCAACACAATAAAGAGCTTTATCTCTCATATGCAAATGAGGCTTTAGACAGATTCTCTCAGACCCAATGCCTTTCAATGTTTTCCCACTTCCTTCCCACCCACTTGGACAAAGACGAGGAGAAAGGGCTGTGAACCATGTCCTTGGATGGTGTGTAGAGACCAGAGCTAGCAGTTTTTTTGTTTACCTGAGAGCCAGGAACCCCTAGGTCCTTGGCCTGCCCGATGACTGCCTTTTTGATAGGTCAGAAGCAGAGCATAATGATGAGGAAATTACCTTCAGCTTGACCTTTACGGCACTGCTGGCGTCAAGCTAGCGATTTTGTGTGGACTTTTCTGTTGACATTTCTGACCGCCCCTTTTGCAAACTTAAAAAGAAATAAATAAAAACTGGACATCAAGTGGAAGACAGAGTAGGGGAAAAGAAGTTCGCCAATGCAAGCAGATGATGTGAAAAGTACTTTGTAAATTAAGAAGAGCTATAGGGATGTTGGTTATTACTAAAGAAAAATGTGTTATCCTCACCCCTCTAATTAATTAACAGTGACCAAGGAGGAAAGAAGTCCACTCTCACCCTTCTTGCTTCTGCAAATCTCTTGTTTGCAGGCACTTTCCAGGCAATGTTGCTTACCTAGACTATAAATGAAGGCATTCAGTTCACCCACAGATATAAATCCCCAAATTATAAAAGTACAATTTCTTTTAGACTTGCCAAGAACTTCTTAGCTTTAAGTACATGGCATATTCTGTGAAGTCAGGAGGAAACCTAGAACTATTGGCTGAAATCTAATCTTTAACTTAATTGACCAGCAAGACAAATTGCAGGATTACAATAAACTAATAGTAATAATAATAATAATAATAGCCATGATTTATTTAGAGCTAGGCACTGGGCTAAGTGATTTACATTTCATCTTAAAGCTCAAACAAGCCCATAAGGTAGAAAACAATTATCCCCATGATATGGATGAGAAAACTGAGCCTCAGAGAAATTAATTTCCCAAGGTCAAATATCTCATAAATAACAGAAATGGTATTCAGACAAGTTTACTGAACCCCAAAGCCTTCTATTTTCCTATCATTTCACACCAACCTTTATAATTGCATAATCTGCAAATATACTTATAATTGCAAAATCTAACAGTCTTTAGTAGAAATTTTATAATATAAAATTTTAGTATTTATGAATTAATGACTTTGTTTCTATTTTCCACTATTTCTACTTCTCTCTATATTATATCTCTCTACATATTATACCTTTCTTTTTAAAACTGTGTATAGCTATGTACACATCTGTTTGTGATTTTGTATCTGAGCTATGAGTAATCTATGGATTTTTTTTTTCTTTTGGGTATCTTTTACTTACATTGTCTATTAAATTCTTTTCCAATATTTTTCTTTCCTCTTTTTCCTACCTGACTTGTCTCTTTCTCTCTTTTATAACCACAATATGAAGCTAAAATATATTTTTATTTGTGTTTATCTAAAGGAATTCTTGCTTTCTGTTCTTTGTTTTTAAATGGCTTTAAAATGACTTTAAATTGACTTACTTTTATTTTATGGTTTTACAGGCCTCAGCCTGTTTTTTATGGTGTGTTATTCATATCCATAAAGTGTCTCCCTTTTGATTGAGGTCTGTGCTGGGCAGGGAAAATGCCCTTTCCTGTCTGTATGTTCCACAGGCCTAATACAAAGCTTCTACTAAACGTATATAAACAAAATAAAATAATTAAGCCTCTCCAAATAAAACCTGGGGCGCCAGCCAGTTTTCACAGCAATTGATAAGCGGGAAGAGATGTAGGTGAGAATTACAGACCATCTTCCTTAAACAAACTTGATTCTGTCTCCTACCTTGGATGCAAATTGAGGGTAGGCCCCACCAGATACAGTAGGGGGCGTGGGAAACCTAGAGCTGGAACCAGTTTTACCTCAACGAGTTTGGATCTAGGAGCCGTTTTAATCAATCCTTCAGGACAGACGTTTGGGGAAAGATAGGCGGAGGGGCCGATCGATTCTCTAGTCTCGGCTCTATCATCCCCCACCCCGATCCCCCTTCATCTCGGGGACCGTCTGGTAGGGGGTCCCGGAGCGGAGCTGGCCAACCGAAAAGGGCTCGGCACCCGCCACTCTGCTTCGCGGCCGCGCGGACCCAACTCCCCCACCGCCTCCGCCTCCTCTCTTCCGCAGATTCCTCCAGCAGGCGGCTCACCGCGTCCCTGGGCAGTTGCTCCTCACTGGGTCCCCTCCGAGGCTCTGTCCCAGATTCCCTCACTTGCCTCTACCAGGTTTCCCCCCACTCTTCCTCCATCGGAGGCCCTTCCGCCTGGGCCACATGATCGTCTCAGCACACCTTTACCTCTGCGGGTGACAGAGCTTCAGTTTCCTTACCTGTAAAGTAGGGACACATTTCTACAAATCTCTACCACATTTACCCAGAACGTGACAAGGCGACCAAAAAAGAGGAGATTCCATTATAACATGGATTGCTAATCAACATTCTCGTCGTTGGTACTATGATTGTCATGGCCATGGTTGGGGGGAGGAGCGCATTCCTCCAGGGTTTTGGAAAGGCCGCCGCCGCGAGCGCCCGCCCCTGCCCCGCCCTTCCGTCCCCGAGGTGGCGCCCCTGCAGGGCCTGCACCCTCCTCCGCCGTCCCGCCTGCGGCCCCAACCCGGAGACTATCTCGCGACCCGCGGCGCGCGGCGACATGGCTGGCGACCACCGCCTCCTGCTGGAGAACGCGCGGCAAGTGGTGCTGGTTTGCACCCGCGGCGAGCGCTTCCTGGCGCGGGACGCGTTGCGCAGCCTGGCGGTGCTGGAGGGCGCCAGCCTGGTGGTGGGCACGTAAGTGGCCGCGGATGCAGGGGAGCTGCCCGGCGCCCCGGGCCGTGGGCTGGGAGGACCCGTAAGCCAAGGACCGGCTTGTCGCTCTTTCTCTAACTTGTGCGCTGTGGAAGGAAACCGGGTGAAAGCTTTCCCGCACCCAGGGAGACATTGGCAGGCCTGCCTTTAGGGCACGTGTGCGGCTAACATGTTTGACTGCTTCGGGCTGGCTGTCATTCGGTGGAGAAACGCACTCAAGCTGCACACGCCCGCGGGATGCATCACGATACCGCTGCTGCTGACAAAATATCATTGCCCAACAATCGGAAGGGCTGGGGGTTTTCTCCAGTGCTTCTTGAAGTGCGGCCAGGGGACCACCTGCGTCAGATGGCCTGAGATTTTTTTTTTAAAGACTGATTTCTGCTCCCCACACATGCCCCCTCTCCCCAGATCTTTTGACTCAGCATCTCTGTGGGTGGAGTTCGGAGACCTAAATTTTTACAAAATATCTCTTCGACCCACTCAAGCTTGAGAACCACAGAAGACATTTAGATGGTGACGGTTTGGGGTGATAGGAAATTAAGCTTTGGCCGCTGGAAAAAGAGGACATTTTCACTCATTTTCATTTCAACTTCTGAGCTTATTGCTAGACGTGAATAAAACAACAGCCAAAGTGTGGGAGGGAGGGCCTGGAGTGGGAGTGGGTGTTGGATGCGGATTTGAATTGGCGAGCCCCATGGCACTGCGATTGCGCAAGATCGGTCTCACCCCTTATCTGAGGCTGCTTAGGGTTGTGTAAGAGTCCAGCTTTTAGGGACTTTGTGTGTGTTTGTTTTTAAAACAAAACAAAGGAATATAAACACTCTCAGTGTTACTGTAAAAAATGTGTTAAAATCAATTAACGGAATTGCGCAGTGATAGAAATTCAGGCCTTGCTGATGGCCATACCCTATGGAGTCCCCAGAAGCCAGACCCCTACTCTGTTGCACTTCTGTGCATAGCCCTCTTTCTCCAGTCACTCCATCATCCAAGATGGCTGCTCCACGTCTCCTTATGGTGTCTACATTCCAGCCAGTAGGAAATAGGAAAAGAAAAACAATCCTATTGGTTAGAACTTACTCATATGGCTATACCTGGTAATGGGAGACTGAGAAATGTAGTTTTTATTCTGGGTGGTCATGGGTCCAGCTAAAATGTAAGAATCTAGCACTGTGGGAGAGGGGAACAATGATATTGGGGAACAACTAGCATTCTCTGCTACACACGATTTGACTTTTTGCCTTGCACATGGCTAGAGTCACTTTTTCAAAGACAATTTCATATAGAAGAAACTACCATTGTACAATAAATGTTGACTGACACCAAAAGACATCAATGACATTTTAAGTCAATAGTCAGATTCCTCACAATATTTTCCCAAACTTTAATAATTATTTCTTGATTTTTCTTCAGGGATGGGTTTATAAAAGCCATTGGTCCTGCTGATGCTATTAAAAAACAGTTTTCTGAAGAAACGTTTGAAGAAAGAATTGACTGTTCTGGGAAATGCATCTTGCCAGGTATTAACCTCTTTTCAGTAAAACCCTGAAAGCAGTTTTAGTGATGCAAAGAGAAAGTGTAGTAGCTTCTTTTAAATGTGGTGTCACAATGGCATTTAAATTTAATAATAGCTACCATTTATTGAATTTCTACTGTTAAATGTCTAGTTGCTTTACAAACATGTTTTCCTATTGAATCCTTATAACTGCCCTGTAAGATAAGTATCATTATCAGTATGTTACAGATTAGAACACTGAAGTTTAGGGGTGAAATATCTTACCCAAGGTTGCTAAACAGGTAAGGAGCAAGCTGAGAATCAAACCCATCCATTCATTCCACTTCTTTCCACTCACATGATGAAGAGAGGCCAGCTGTGTTGTGTTTAGATTCAAAAAATTTGGAAGAATTTTATTAATCCGTTGCATAGTGGAGGCAAACAGGGCAAGCTGATATCTCTAACACCAGAATATGCTCAAAATTAGTATAGAGTTTGAAACAAAGGACCTATCTCTAGGTTGAAAAAGAAAAAAAAAAATCCCTAGAGAATTCCCTGAAGTTCATTGGTGTCTTTAGTGATTGACAACAGAATCAGTTTATCTACTATCAGTGTTTTCTGGCTTCATGTAATGATGTGAAACAAGTTTTTCTTTTTTTAGTTCTACGCAAACATAGAAGCTAAGATTTCTACTTTTAAAGTGTGTACTGTGTATATCTGACAGAGCTTTTACCTTCTGGCTTTTGGGAGTTAGAAGACAAAGCCAGGGTGAAATCTTATGAGAAACAGCAGAATATACTAAAAAGCAATCTGAATAGGGTCTTTTGATTTTATTCCAATCAGAACCACTAATGAGCCATTCGATCCATTAGGTATTTTGAATATTCTAGAAGGACACACTTTACTGAGTTGTACCTGGGTAAACAAAAGTTCCAGGTGATTGCTTTATAGCTTCTCTTTAATCAAACTACGTATATTTCTTTCTTGAAGAAATATTCATCTTTCTGATTTCATATTTTTCCTTCCCAGGGTTGAAGGTAGGAATTGTATGGTTCTGTTTTCACACCCAGATTATTCTTTTGTGGTATAGTCCTTGGTTTTGTTCAACTAATAAGATTGACATCCTGTTTTAAAAGCTTGTTTGGTGAACATAGACTTAATGGGCAAAAGGAGCTGTATTTTTTTAAGGAATATTTTCATCAGGTTGAGTCACCATCCTTTATTAGAGCCTTCTGGACCAACTGTGCAGAGAGGCCTCTTGCTTTCTCTCTGTCGAGGGAAGAACCATAGAGACAAATTCTCCCTGTTCCCCTCCAAGATGCCTGACTACCATCATGCTTTCCCAAGAGTGGATGGTATAGTCTGCCTGCTATCTAAGGGCTTTCTAGTTCTTAACTTTAAAAATGATTTGATTTATTGATTACAGGTTTGGTGGATGCACACACACATCCAGTATGGGCTGGTGACAGAGTTCACGAGTTTGCAATGAAGGTAACTGCAATGAAGGCAAATCAAAATGAAGCACAGGCCAGGATCGCTGGTTAGATTCCCACATGGGCCAGTGAGCTTCGCCTGAGCTTCGCTGCCACTGAGCTGCCAACAGGTGGCAGGATGGCTCAGCTGGCACGTGCTTCTAATGACAAGACTGCCTGTTCGATGGTGGGCTATGCCCACCCATGGCTGGGACTGAACTCAGCACCTTGAGCTGAGCTGCCACCTGGATGGCTCAGTAGATGGAGTGTGCACTCTTAACAGCAAGGTTGCCAGTTTGACTCCCACATGAAAAAAAAAAATGAAGCACAGGCATAGAAGAGTTTATTTCTAAAGAATTTGTAGGCGGTCAGACTTTGCAACATATGCCTATAAGTCTTTTTAATGAATATTTTTACTGGCCTGGACTATGGAAAATAAATTCCAACAAAATTAATTTATAACTGTCCCAAATCTTTACATATGCACAGGGCTAGCAATAATTTAAAGTAGAATAGTTTTCAAAACATTTTAGCTGTAGAATTCTCCTTTTAAGAGAACTGAGCTGCCTTGTTCACTAATTTCTCCTCTCTTTCTCTTTCCCCATTCCATCTCGCCACCACTGATGGCCTTTGAAGGTGCCCCAAGAAATAATTTGAAAATCATCATTCATTGGGGTCAAACTTGGGAAAATATATTACTAATCACAAAAATAAATAAGGCTTATATTCGCTTTTTTCAGAAAAATGAGACTAATTAAGAAACATAAAATGTAGTCTATGTCAGTCATTAACTAGTCATAGTCAACCCTCAAATCGCTGGCTGGAGCCATTTTCACATTGTTTATTTGTTTTTAGTAGACTTTATTTTTTAGAGCAGTTTTAGGTTCACAGCAAAACTGAGCAGAAGCTATAGAGATTTCCCGTATACCACTGCCCCCCCACAGCCTCCCCTATTTTATAACACCCCCACCAGAGTGGTACGTTTGTTACAATGGATGTGGTACATTTGTTACATGACACATCATTATCACCCAGGGTCAAAGGTTACATTACCATTCACTCTTGGTGTTATACATTCTATGGATTTGGACGAATGTATAATAAGGACATGTACCCACCATTGCAGTATCATACAGAGTAATTTCACTGCCCTAAAAATCCTCTGTGCTCTGCCTATTCATCCCTTTTCTTTCTTTCTTTTTTTATTGTTAGTTTCAGGTGTACAGAACAATGCAATAGTTATCCTTTTCACCCTTCACACAGAAACAACTCCCCTCCCCCCATCCACTGCCCTCCCACCCCCTGATATCATGCTTATCTACTACAATTCCATTGACTCCATTCCCATACTCTACTCCACGTCCCGTGATTATATGTACATATAATTATAGTTGACATACAATATTATTCAACATCAGTTTCAGAACTACAGTGCGGTGGTCAGGCCTCTACATCGACTATGTAGTGGTCTCCCTAACAAGACATGAGTCCATCTGGTCCCCTAAAAAATATTTATAACATTATTGATTATATTCCCCAGACTGTCTTTTCTATCCCTGAGGCCATATTGTAATTACCAATTTGTATTGTCTCATCCCTTCCCCTTCTCTTTCTTTCCCAACCCCTGACAATCGCTGATCTTTTTAGTGTCTTCCATAGCTTAGTGTTTTCCAGAAAGTCATATAGTTGGAATTATATAGTATGTAGCCCTTTTCAGATTGGCTTCTTTTCACATAGTAATATGCACTTCAATTTCCTCCATAGCTTTTCTTAACATTGTTTCTTAAAAAGTGCATATCCTAACAGCTAAATTGGGTTATTTCAGAAAAAAAATTTCTTCAGATATTGTGTACTTTTCTCAACACACTGGAGCTGCTTTTAAGACTTTTTATTAAATCAGATTTTTCAGAGTCAGAAAAGCAACCTTAGGGATTTGCAGTCCAGTACTCTCATTACGCGGATGCAGAAAGTGAGGTCAGCAGAAGGAAAGGTGTTGAGTTCACCAGCTCACGTGGCAGAACCCAGATAAAAACTCTGGCAGGGAGACCCCCAGCCTGCACACTGTGTTTGCACCACACTCCTTGCTGCCCCGAGTAACAAAAGCCCAGCGGGATCCCAGAAAGAGCCTCTTTATTTGCTTGAGTGACAGCTGTCAGGCCCCAAACTCTAGGGGCCAGATACTGGGAAAAGGAACACCCCCTCCCCGCTTTAGTGAAGATTTGAATAAGTGCAGTGGGATTCCCGAATTTCCTAAGCTTTGTTTTCTCACAGGTGGTGAAGGACATGGGGAGACTTAACTGGTACACACTGGGGTCGATTGGGTTGTTAAAATACTGAAACACTTCTGTGATTGGTAAATTGCCGCTGCTCCGAGACCTGAAGTCCCCACCACATCTCCCATTTCTGCCACCCTAGTTCCTTCCTGGGCCCCACGCCAACCCACCCCAACTCCCCACTTCCGGGTAGAGTAGAAGTTTTTAGGACTAGGTGCCTCAGCATCTTTTCTGATCGGCTGGTACCCTGGCATAGCGGTTGTGAATCATTCTGAGTATCGCCCCTGCGGGTAGGTACCCGCGCATTCGCCGGGGTCTAAGGGTGAGCCATGTGTTCAGTTGGCAGGAGCCACGTACATGGATATTCACCAGGCTGGAGGAGGGATCAACTTCACGGTGGAGCGCACGCGCCAAGCCTCGGAGGAGGAGCTGTTCAGCTCCCTCCAGCAGCGGCTGCAGTGCATGATGAGCGCGGGGACCACGCTGGTGGAGTGCAAGAGCGGATACGGCCTCAACCTGGAGACCGAGCTCAAGATGCTGCGTGTGATTGAGCGCGCCCGGCGGGAGCTGGACATCGGCATCTCGGCCACTTACTGCGGGGCTCACTCAGTGCCAAAGTAACCTCAGCAGAGGGGCCGGGCTTTTAACTCGGGCACTGAGAACAAAGAAGGGGCCATATGCCGCCTAAGAGGGGGGCTATGTTCTCCAGAGGGTGGAGGTGCCTCAGCACTTTAGTTCTCGCAAAGGGACCAGTAGAGGCCTTTCGAAAGGTGTTCTGATTCGAATGGTCAGTCACCTCACACACTTACGGTTTTAGGAAGGCAATCCCCATCAGACCCATCAGTTTGCAAGTCCCTAATGATGAAGAAAGGAGGAGCAGTTCAAAACACTTTTGGTTAACAAAGAGAAATGTCTCCTTATAGGTCCCTTTTTAAAATGACAGATATTAATCTAAATCGTTTCCCCATGACAGTTAGCATGAAAGCATATTAGAGATTAAGTAAGAGTCACACCCTGTAAGAGACAGATCAAATCTTAAAGTCAGGAGGACTCAGAACAGTTTTTATTTTTGTTCATGTTTGTTTAACCACAACACAACCATTTTTGTTTTATTGTTGTGTTTTATAGCTTTCTCCTTTATCTAAAAAGTTTCTCCTATATGATTTTACTGTAGAGAATTCTGTCCCCTTTTGCACCTGCATCTTACTTGTCCTGGAATTTCTAGACTGGAAGGCCCGCAGTTCTGAAACTAAAAGTTCCAAAAGAAACCCAGGACGTGACAATTCACAGGGCTTCTCCAAAGTCTTAGTGCAGCTTTCAGCTTTGATGACCTAGATATATATAAATGCTACAGGCTTACAAAAATTATTTGAAAAATAATTTATACATTTAAAAAGTCTATTTAGTTCTCTGAACTTTGAAAAATAAAATTTTAATGGTAATACTGTGTTTATCTTCAGAGGAACTAAAACAGTGTTAAAATGTATTAAAAATTCACAAAACTAATTAAATAGAAAAGAAACATTAATATTTCCAATTATGTTTATTGTATGTTTTTAGTATTTATACTTACAAAAAAAAATTAAAGCTTGAAATGGCACTAAAACTTTTTGGACATCTTGTCTATAGAAAACAGATTTCTTTTTCAAACAGAGAATAAGGTGTATAATACTCTGTTTTGTTTTGTTTTTCCATAGGAAAAACAGTGTTACACAGTAGAAAAGTGCCAGGCCTTGGAGCAATACGTGGGCTTGAATCTAGCTTAGCTATTTTCAGCTGGGTGATTCTGAGGGTATCACTTAACTTTTTGGACGTGAATTATTCATCTGTAAAACAGCTATATAACACCCTATTCTATATGGTTGTCTTGGGAATTAGAAACAACATATGTAAGTGCCTGACTCCTCATAGTCCATCTCCTATCTACCCACTCAAATGGTTGTTGCTGAATTAGAGGCTTCTTCTATGTGCCAGATACAGGGCTGAAGTATCACAGGCATTTTCTCCATCTGCCAATGAGCCTCTGAGGTCTACATAATCCCCAGTGATAAAGCCTGAAGCTCAGAGTATGCCAAATGACATCTAAATAATGTGTCCAGAAAGTTATATAGCCAGCAGGTGGTAGAGCTCTATGTATCTCTGACTTAAAAAAATCCAGCCCTTTCTAATATATAATTACCCCAGAATCTTAGTGAAAATTCAGGGACTCCTACTATATCCTCTTCACCTATGTCTCCAAATGGTAAAACTGGAAGCCTTAGGCAGATGCTTCTAGAAACAGTGTAGAAGAAGAAAAAGACAGGGTGAAAGCTGGGGTCCAGGTAAGGGGCCCACAGTTGGGTGGTCAGGGAAGCCTCCAGATGCCCACTAGGTGTCCTTGACAAATAGATTTATTTTTTCAGCCAGAGGCCTTGCTGCCATTCTCTAAGGCAGTACTGGTGTGCCAGAATGGATGAGCCATTTGAGCCTCTGTTTTCAGAGTCAGTGCATCTAGAAGTCTTGTCAATATCTCGGCTATGTGGGCATGTTCCAATTGTTAAGAGTTCTGAGTTACAGCTTTGACTATTTCTCTACCTTTCTGAGGCTTGAGGTCATCTACCTACAGTTTCTCAGGCTCTCCAAGCACCAAAAACCCCTTCTCCATTAAAAAATATATATATTTGTCCATGGTAATCTCATTTTCTCCCTTCAGAGGAAAAACTGCGACTGAAGCTGCTGATGACATCATCAATAGCCACCTGCCAAAGCTGAAGGAACTCAGCAGAAATGGGCAAATTCACGTTGACAATATAGATGTGTTCTGTGAGAAGGGTGTCTTTGATCTTGATTCCACCAGAAGGATTCTTCAAGCTGGAAAAGATATGGGGTTACAGATTAACTTCCATGGGGATGAACTCCACCCAATGAAGGCTGCTGAGGTACGCTTGACCTTGTGCTGTTCTGTTGTCAACACTCATGCTATGGAAAGCTTACGTAGTTTGTTCAAAGACAGGAGTGGCCTGCTGAAGAGATAGAGAGTGGGGGAATTTGTTTGGACAATGTAAAGATTGGTTGGGTGACCCTTGGGATCCCTGACCTCTATTAGAAATGTACTTTTTTTGCTGGTCATTTACATTTTTTGTCACCTGCTGATATGTTAGTTGAAAAAGCAGTGCCTTTGTGATCTCATTTACTCAATTCACAAAGCCATGTTAGCAGAGTCTATTACTTTCACATGCAACTTCTAGGGTCTTACTGTGGCATCATCCAGATGAATTTTAGTGCCATTAATAACCACAACATGGTTTTCAAATCTATATGTCTTGCGCTGATTCATTCATTCATGCTTTCAACAAATATTTGAATGTCTACGGTGTGCCAGGCACTGAGAATTCCTCAGTGAATAAGACAGACAAAATCCTGCAGAAGTGAGTCTGGATGTCTCCCCTTTAAGCCCTGGAGCTAAATAAACAACTACCCTTGGGGCATAAATATCGATGTAGGTACCCTACGAGTGTCTCAAGCACAACATATCCTGCTTGATCTCTTACTGTCACTTCCAAATTGTGTTCTGTGTTTCCTGCCCCAGTGCATGACACCATTATCTAGCTGTCGCCTAAGTAAAAAACCTGGACATGATTTGACTCCTCCTTCCCCTTCACCTACCACATTTCAACCAACCAGCAAACCCTCCCAATTCTCCTCCTAAATGTCTCTAGATCCATTTCTCTTCACCCCGTTGTCTGGTTCCAACCACCATCAGCTCTCACTGGGATTCCTGTAGCTGTTTGCCTCCAAGCTTGCCTTCACTTTAATCTGTTCCTTTAATCCATCCCCCGGTGCATCTTATCCTTCCTCCCCTTTGCTTAAAACCACTTGAAAGCTCACTCATAGGACGAATCCCAAACTCCATACATGTGGGCTTGCCAGGATCTTGCCCTTGCTTACCTCTCTATTTTCCCCTCTCTCTCCTCTCCCTTTTCGCCTCTCTTACCCTGTGTACCATGAACCAGCCACAATAAACTACTTTTAGTACACCGAATACCCCATGCCTCTGCACATGCTGTTTCTCGAACCTGAACACTCCTCCTTGTCTGGCTAACTAACTCACTTTCTTGTTTCATCTTAGCTGTGGCTTCTCTGGGGTCCTTCCCAAACCTCTCCAAGAGTAGCTTATAGCTCCTCCCTGTACTTACCCACTGGGTTAAAATCGCCTCTCTGATCCCTACTGGACTGTAAACTCATGAGGATTGTACCCATGTCTTACACAGCCCTACCCATGGAGGTTAGCACAGCGCCTGGCATACAGATGGCCTTTAGTAGGTAAACATTTGTTGAATGTTAAATGAATGTGAACTGGATGGTCAACATGATACTTTTGGTGGTAGAGAGTGGTGAATTAAATCAATAGAGGTCGATACCCAGGATGAACAAATCAAGTTTGAAAAAGTGAGGGTGACTCCAAGGTCAGAAAGGAATTCCCTTGGGGGAGCCTAGTCTGTTCTGTGGATACAGGGCTCCCCAGAGCCCCAGAAAACTACTCTTAGATATTAGCCAGCTGAGGAGGAGCCAGCTCTTTTGGAAATATTGTCTACTTTCCTTTCCTTGGAATATGTTTTCTTAACCTATCACCCTTCAGCTTGTGTGTGTGTGTGTGTGTGTGTGTGTGTGTGTGTGAAAAATTTTCAAGCTAAGAAGAAATTCACTTTAAAGCGTGGTTTCATGATCATCATAGCTTTGCCTCCTGTTGGTTTTCTTCTAACAATCTAGCCGTAACTTTTCATCTGGAGAGA